GTTTTTTTAGTTCTTTCTGGTCTTTTATTACCAAGCTCTGTATTATTTTATAGATTTTGACATATAATATCAATTACAACAATACAAAATTATTTCACAACATGTTTAAGCATTTCGGTTTCACTGGTCCTGTTGGTTCATTTGTCGCTGCTGCACATGAACAGATTTGCAAGCATTTCATAGCGGAATAGTAGAAAGGGTTTCCATATAGATAATAATGAAACAATAAATAATAACTAGGTAGACTCATACCTTCTTTGCGTAAGCGCTGCCTATTTGGTTTGTGATAAAAAAATATACCTTATTAGTTTGAATACACTTTTCTTAGCAATTACTTTTCTCTTATTGTGATGGCGATTTTCATGTTTTGGTTATATACCTAAAAAACGCTGCAACAAACCACCGGATAATGTATACAAAATGGAAAGTTAATATTAATATGCGGACAGTACAAAGCATAAGATTAATCTTTAATTTAAAAAAAATAAAATTGGTTTAATTTGTTTTTGAAATTAAGTATAAATTTAACTATTGAATAAAATTAGCCTTTACTAGATATATCACCTAAATAATATTTTCTGTCACGTTTATCTAGTTTTGCGACGACTGTCTCAATCGACTTGACAAGTCCATTAAAGATGCCTCCAATTTTTTAGCTAACAATCTAGAGAATCAGACATCAGTCTATACTGTTGCAATATCAGCTTATGCATTAACCATAACTGACCATAATGGGGCGTGGCGTGCTAGAAATATGCTAGATGACTTATCTAAAGGCGGAACAGGTATACAATAAAAGTTTTTATGAATATAAACAATTTTCTCAGGAAGTAATAAAGTGTTGAATATTTGTTAAAATCATCACCATAGCTTAGCCAGATTTCAATTAAATATCAAATGTTAAAGGCGGGATTGATAAACAAATTGTTTAAATGTTTCTTATTTGCGTGACAGGACAAATGTACTGGGAAGAGCGAAACAAACCTCCAACGTCAATATTTCACTTTGGACGAAATACCCTTGCTGCATCAATTGAAATGACAGCATATGGTTTGTTGGCGTTTGTTGAGTGGGGGTCTACTGTTAAGGGCTTACTAATACAAAAATGGTTAATTGCTCAACGGAACCCATATGGTGGTTTTATTTCTACACAGGTTAGCTCTTACATAAAGAAAAATGCATTTATTTTTACCGAAATTTTACGAGCAATTCTGTTCTAGAGCAGATAATTTAATATTGTATATATATTAATGTTTTTAATATTCAAATAATAAAATAACTTTTATAATCCGTTGATTAGGTTGTTAATTTACTTTGGTAAATAGTTATTGTCTAATACATTGAAAGGCTAGTTTATCCACTCATAATTTTTCTGTCTCACATTACTAACTATGGTCATGATCGAATTTTTTGCATCATCAAAAAAACTTTCAATTAATTCATATTTTATAAAGTCAATATTATATAAATAACACATGGGTTTGTGGGTAATAGTAAAAATATCATCCCATGGATAATACTGTTACCCGAGGCGAAGCCGAGGGTAACAGTATTTTTACGAGGGATGCTATTTTTACTGTTACTCACAAACCCATGTGTTATTTATTTTATTACCCAGAACAAAAATACTGTGATGATCTGAAATTGTCAACTCACTCTAACTTTTACAAAAATAAACCAAAAGTAACAATAACTAAACTGCCCTTACCTTTTAAGTTTTAAGTGTACTTTAGGCCTACTTGAGAAGTTTTCTTTTTCTTTTATTCTTTAAGCAACTGATGATTTCTACAAATTATAAACATACAATAAGCTAGGTTTTATCTAGAAAGCAAAACACTAACCCATTTACACGGTTATGATCTGTGAAATCTAATCCTTCTGTTTCGAGAATATTCTTAGCATGGTTTGTGACAAATAACGATGATATCTTATGTCTGTCCACCATATCTGTAACGTTTCACTGATTAAAATTTTGAATAATCCATTGTTGCATGCTTAAACCGTCTGCATGTTCCAGTTTGACACATAATTATTTACATTGAAATTACTTCCGTTTAAAACGGATGTTCGTATTTTGACTATTCAACAAAAAGATATTTTATACGCGAAAAGCACACCAGGGTGCGAACAACTAAATTTTATGAGTGTCATAGTTACTCCTGAGAAGAAATTGATGTCCTATCGGTGTTTAACGTCGAAAATAAGAATGAATCGAGAAAAGAAATGGCGGCCATTTTATTTAATTCTATTTATAAAATAGACCACGTGACCAGATTTTATACTATTAAAAATACTGTTACCTATGTAACAGTACAAAATTCTAAGTCACGTGGTACACTTGCATTAACAGTAAAAATAACTCCCAGAGGCCTATGGGAAATTAGCATTACGAAAAAGGTGAGGGGTTAATAAAACAATATGTGCACAGGAATCAAAAACATTAAGAAGCAACTATTGAACTGTTTTTTTTATGCACACATTTTACATCTTAATTTTTTTGTATGTCATAGCTCATGACGTTAATTATTTTAGGATACAGTAATTGGTTTACAAGCTCTGTCTGAAATGGCAGCTTCAGTAAACTCTGCTAGAGATATGACAATAAAGTTGTCATACACAGACATTCGTCCTCGAGAAAAGACATTCCGAATAACTGAAAATAATGCAATGATTGTGCAGATGGAGGATGTAAGTTATAATCACAAGTTCAAACATTAAATATATTAACGTTGTCATTCATGGTGCTTTCGTAAAATGTGATTAGTAATATACACATGTACTGTATATTAAAAGATTACAACGCTAATTTACTAAGTTAGAAAGTATAGTATACTGTAGTACTCGTAGTAAAATTATTACACGTATAATTGTCATTAAACTAAATGTGAACAATACTTGGTTTTCGAATATTATGATATACTCGTACATTAAATATGTAGAACAAATAAATTTATTTCAAATGATTTTTCTCTTGTAAAGCATGAAGCAGTAGCCAATAGGATGGTATAAACTTGTACGTTACAATGTTGATAATTATGCAAATTTTGTTGTTCTAATGATAATGTTCCTACACAAAATTTACTATATGATTGGTTACTCTCACGTTGTTCATCATACTTTCTGTTAAAAATGAAAGCTGTCAACAGATACAAGTAAGATTAGCATATACGCCTGGGGAAAGAAGGGCTCAACAGCTATTTTCACCGTAAGTATATAAATTATATTTTAGTCTAGTGATTTTGGTAAATTTAAGATCAAGTTACATTAACATTTGATTGAATATAAGAATGAAGAAAAGAAGACAAGCTTTCAAGAACAATTGGTGAATGGAACGATATGAAACTTAAAAAATATTTTTACTGTAAGCAAATGTTGAATACAAGTTTCAAAGATAATTATCAAACTAATACTGAATATTTTGTGAGTGTTTGGGTTTGTTTACCCTCGCCACCGGGAAGAGACAATATAGGCGAGCACTTACTGAATAAACAATTTTAAAGGTCTTTATAAGTTAATATAGTGGGAAAAACATAGGAACAATTATAACTTACCGCTTCATTATTTTAAACAGGTATCTTTATTCTATAACATAAATATGGACCTTGAAGCCAGGAGTTTAAAACTGAACGTAACTGTACTCAAAGAAACAATCAATGGATTTACATTACGGTCGTGTGTCAGGTAATAATCAAAAGACATATAATGATAATATGTATTGGATTAAATAACTAGTGCTAATTAAATAACAATCTTGAAAATGGCAGGTCTCTCGGAAGTCAGGACCAATAAAAAGAGGCACGTAAATAGCCAATATTTCACTACTGCAGACCCGATTATAATGACTATGTTCATAAGTATTAATATAATACGGATAATTCTCAGTGAATGTTGACTACAAAGTATACACTTTCTTAATCCTTTTTTGCTCTCGTTATTGCTTGAAACAATAATACCGCAAAGTTTCTAATTGGCTTCCTTGAAAACACTTAATATCATGACGAAGACCTTCCAGACTTTCATACTTTATACATATGTTTCATATACCAGATGGCTAGAAGATGAAATCAGTGGCATGATTGTTGTTGAAGTTGGTATTCCGTCTGGTTTTGAAGCTAACAGGTGGAGCATTTCTGAACATAAGCTTCTCAAAAGGACTGAAATAGAGGACAGGAATGTCATTCTTTACTATGATGAGGTACCAGTATCTCATTCTCAGAATATTTCAACGTAAATATTGTTCTTACAGGCACATAAAGCTATAAAGACATAATTAAGTTGTTGAATATATATGTCATTATTTTCTCACAAACGGAATTCATAATAATTTATAATAACTGCTTTGTTCTTTCTTAAGAACGAATTTGTTGATACTTATTTTTTCATCGAAATGTTTGGAAACACTAGAAAATGGTTATTTATCATATCTCATTTAATTCATACATATTAGTAAGTCGTTATCAAATAGATTGTTTTCCACTTAGTTGATATTTAAACCTTGATAATTTAAACATTTTGATCATGTTTGATAAGTTTTTGTTTGTTTAGATTAATGAACTATTGATGATATATGAAGAAAAAATGAATCATTCTTCTATTTAATGTATTGTCATTCAAATATACTAATTATCTTTACATTGTAAATTTTAATGTTTTTAAGGTTACTTATGCGGATATATGTACAGACATTTCTGTTGTAAGGGACAAAATGGTTGCACAAATAAAACCGGTGCCTTGTAAGGCGTACGAGTACTATGAACCAAGTATATTATTTATTTCTGTGCAATGTTTTTTCCCGGGAAATGTTTCTCCCCTTCAAAGTATCATCTCTGTGACAGATAAACTATTTATGTCAAACCACCTTCTTAAAATTGTCTTTTAATTTTTCAGCATACTCAGCTTTTTACTGTCTTTAATTTCTGAGAAACTGCGAAAATTTTGATGTCTGTCCTAATTAACAAGATTTCAATTTTCTATACTGTTCATGATCGCTTGACTTTAGGCATCCCATTTTGTATATTTCTGTTTTGTCACCTCTAATGGCAGTTGTATATCAATGATCGCAAAACATTCTGTCACTTTTACAGTATTTAACTTTTTACCATGACCATAGGTGTTATTCAGCACTAAATTAATAACCATCTGCTGGATCTCGTCCTAATTTTATTGTATTGTGCTTATATGAGCACTGTATGAAGTACATACATGTACATATTTTTGCGATTTCCTTTAGATTATGCCACAAAGTGTTAGGCATACGGTAAATGTCGTCATAACATTAGGAAACTTTCATACGTTATTGACAACTTACTAAGTTTTGAAGAAAATTTGTTCTCAGTCGGCCTAAACTAATGCTTTCATATCTTATGTATGTAAGTAAGTAAGTAAGTAAGTATTATTAATTTATGAAAACATATTTGAGCCGCGTCATGACAAAACCAACATAATGGGTTTGCGACCAGCATGGCGCCATGCTGTTCGCTTACAAACCCTATTACAAGTAGAGAAACTGATAGCGAACAGCATGGATCCTGATCAGACTGCACGGAGGCGCAGGCTGGTCTGGATCCATGCTGGTCGCAAACCCACTATGTTGGTTTTGACATGACGCGGCTCATTTTACAAATCAAATTATACAACATATTAAATACAGCCGGTCCAATGGGCCTATAAGTCATCTTATAAACATGAAATATTTATAAGTGATTATATTAACAGGCTTATCTGTAGATAACGTAGCTATAACGTGATTGAACTATTATATATACTCTTTGATTAATTTTTAGTTCATAAGATATTTGATTTATATTTTAAATTTATCTATACATGCTTTGTCGTCTGTACAAGTATGCTTTGACAATGTATTTAGCCAAAGTTCTAGATTTGTTTTTCATCAAATAAACTAATTTTTCTGGATCAGTCTTTGAGTAAAAATCATTTGTATTATTTAGTTCACCAAAATATTCATAACGTATATGTCTATAAAATAAGCACTTTGCAACAAAATGTTCTTTGTTTTCGATAAACTGATCCGTACAAAATGCATGTTTACTTTCTTGAAATAATGTGTCTTAATCAACTTCAAAGTGATAAAACCAATATAAAATCGTATTAAGCACGGGCGTACATCTTTGCTTGACAACCAGTCAACCGTGTGGGACAATCCTCGTACTTTCATAAATGTTGATAAAACTTACGCCGCCAAACTTTTGTTAGCGCCGCATCCACATAGTCGCTGAATGTCTGACGTAATCATGGGGACGTGCATATGTTTCCTTCGCTTAAATATTAAAAAAATATTCGATTTACGAACTGGGAAAGCTTACAATAAAATGTAAGAAAAGATGTTTTTAGCTCACCTGAGCATGCTCAGGGTGAGCTTTTATGATCGATGTTTGTCCGTCGTCCGTCGTCCGTCCACATTTAGTTCGTAAACACTCTAGCAGTCGCATTTATTCCTCAATCATCATAAAACTTTGTCAGATTATCTGTCTCAATAATATCTCGGATGAGTTCGATCATGGGTGACCTCCGATGAAAACCTAGGTCACAGGAGCTAAAAAAAGAAAAATCTTGTTAACACTCTAGTGGCTGCAGTTTTGATTCAAATATTCTGGAAATTTGTCAGGAATGTTGTTTTGATGATTTCTAGGTCAAGTTCGAAGATTGGTCATCTCCGGTCAAAAACTAGGCCACAGGAGCTAAACATAGAAAAAGCTTGGAAACACTCTAGTGGCTGCAGTTTTGAACCAAATATTCTGGAAATTTGTCAGGAAGGTTGTTTTGATGATTTCTAGATCAAGTTTGAAGATTGGTCATGTCCGGTCAAAAACTAGGTCACAGGAGCTAAAAATAGAAAAATCTTTTTAACACTCTAGTGGCTGCAGTTTTTATCCAAATTACCTGGAAATTGGTCAGGAAGGTTGTTTTGATGATTTCTAGGTCAAATTTGAATAAGGGTCGTCTCCGATCAAAATTAGGTCACATTGCCCAAATATTGAAAAACCTTTTTAACACACTAGAGGTCACATGTTTGACCCAGTTGTCATCAAACTTGGCCAGGATGCTTGTCTAAGACATTGCTTGGATGCGGTTGATGGGTCAGGGGAGCGATCAAGGGCCATCATGGCCCTCTTGTTTATGAATATGCCTTGTCATATCGGATGTAGAAAATGTTGCAATTTTCTCCCGTGTAATATATAGAATATTCACGAAAAGCTAACAATTCTTTGTGTGGTAACCGTTACATTTGATGTCCCTTTTCAAGGTAGCCGTTTGTGAACGATTAACACTATCCTTTTTAAACATTTTTATGGGGTTGTTATTTTTGAGTGATCTTAAAGATTATTACTGTAACAATATGATTAATCTTTTATCCTAGGTAATCAAGTTACTGTATTCTACGAACCTTTGTCGGCAAAAAACTCGAATATCTGTAATATATGCGGCATTGAGTGTGGATGTAACGTGACCGGGGAAAAACTTTGGTTCCCACAGGTAAAACGTGCTATTTTTTCCCTTTTTCTTACAATCATTACCTCATTAAGTAACAAGAAATTATTACTGTGTCACGGTTCAGAACTGTTCACTATTTAGGGGAGAAGATGTGTAAGCGGCCGGATAGCTCAGTCGGTATAGCAGCGGTTCGGTATTCCGAGGGTACCGGGTTCGAGTTCAGGTCAGCTTGCACATTTTTCTCACCCTGTGACAACAGTTGTATACAAATTACCTCCCTTATTACCAAACGCTTCAGTTTGGGAAAACGATGATATGTTTTGCTTAGCATATATACTTTTAAGTTTACTTTATTTCCTTGCAGAAATGGTGCAAACAGAAGATGAAAGGTTAAAACAGGAGAAAATTAACACCCATGACTGCAGCGGAAGTACTTAAATTTTGATTCAAAGCTGTAATATAGCATAAAATAAATCTAAAATAAAACGAGGTTGTTTAACTATTGCTATTCTTTTTCACCGTGTATATCCAGTAACGCAAGAATGTGTAAATAACGCAGAAATTGTGCAAAAGTAACGCAGAATTGTGCAATTCAATTGGAAAAAATGAATGAGTGCAAACCTTTGTTGAAACATTGTACTTAAACCTCATAAAGAATATTTCCATGAAAGTGTTTATTTTTCAAGATTATTTGTGAAAATGACAAACTGACTATTGATGGCTACTTTTGATTCGTTGATATCTTTAAATACAATTACGTATGTATTATTTCATGATTTTTTATACTTGGTGTACCTGAGACATTTTCCAATCTTCTCCTGTCAAGCAAATTAGTCGTAATTGAGACCATTTTTACGACGTTACGCCGAATTCGTGAATGAAGCACTAAAGCAACGGCGATTATCTCATTAAAAATAACTAAATCTTATTTTACAAGCTTCCTTCTACACTCAGAGGCACTTATAACCCGACAGTTACATTGTCCGGTATAACTTGGTTACTTGTGAACAGATTTTGTTCAGTCTTTGAACATACAAAACTCAACATATCATACTTATTTGCTATAATTTAATTTTTACTTTCAATTCATTAACAAGAAAATAGAGAAAATAACACTGCAAAATGAAAAATCACAAAATGACTGTAAATATCGTTACACAATGAAAAGTCTCTAAATCCCACTGATTCTGTATAATAACCAGTTCTAATATTTTCTGTGTCATCCCATGGCTATAACAAAGTGTAAACACCTTTCTCATGGTTATGACGTAGTGAAGGCTTGAGAAAAAAAACTCCATTCCGGAATAAGGGCTTCCTCGAGTTCCAGCAACTTCTGTTTTCCAAGTCATAGATCTTAAGATCTCACTTGTCGGCTGAATTGAACAGGTGTGTGAGAAAGCGACCAAAAGCTCCTCGCAATTTGCTGGAACAAGAGCAAGCCCTAATTTAGGAATAGAGAACTATGATGCAGAAGTGTTTACTTCGTTATAGCCAACTGGGAGGACATACAAAGTGTTAGAACTGGTAAACATACAGCTTTAATGGGATTCAGAGACTGTTTATTGTGTTACAATTTTACAGTCATTTTGCGATTTTTCATTTTACAGTAGCCTATTTGTTATGCTATTTTATCTATTTTCTTATTAATGAATTGTAAATATAATTCCAAGTAGTAAGTATGATATGTTGAATTTTGTAAAGTCCAAATTTGATTAAAATCCGTTCACAAATAATCTATTTATACAGAAAAATGTCTGTGTTGGGTTATTAGTGCCTCTGAGTGTATGCTTTGGATTCAAGTTGAAAACGAGGCAGTAGATGGATGGTATTTCCGTGCAGGTGTGGCTCAAGAGTCGTTGGAATGTGTGCCCATATTGCTGCCATAGTATGGTATCTGTCCAACGGACGTCATAGCGGGAGAGAGAGTCAAACGCCACAAAATTTCAAATCGACGTTGCAGTTGACGAACCATCTGGCAGTGAGGCAGACTAATATATCATATCTTGTCGACGTTGCTTACGTCATTACCTTAAAACAATGTTGATACAACTTTCATCATTATTAACTATTTTATTTGTTAAAGTCTCTGTAAATAGCAAGAAACATTATTTATTTATACAGTGTTAAAAAATGGTGTAAGAAATGATACAGAAATTCTGTCTTTAAGGTGGCATGATGCTGAATAACAACAGTTGATTTTTTCACATATTTGTTCAATATCTAATTCAATTGACTATGATTAAGTTTCAAGCGATATCACATAAATTTTCTTTAAAAAGTTGTTATAGTTTTTATAACTTGTTGATTGTTGATATATATAATATTTGTTCGGACACAAATCCTTAGATATCGATTTTATTTTCTTACCCTTTATTTAAAAAGCAATGTTCGCATTTATCATCCTATTAATTACGCTATGTTAGCTGATGGTATTTTACTTAACAAGCATCATAACCCAATCATTTTTTTTATTTATGCGTTTATATTCATTATTTTATATGTTAAATATATGATATATGAATTTAATACTTATTGACTATTCCTGCAACATTTTTTTTTTAAATTTTGTTATCAATCCTTCTTAAGCAAATTTGTAAATCTAATTTTCATTCAATTCATATTCAAATTTTAAAAGTGCAAAACTTATGATTTTCAAGATATAACATGTGAATTTCACTCCTTTTCTGACATGACTGAAATATAATAAACAAAAAGGCCAAACTTGTCCAAATTTTGTGTATCCAAAAATTGGTTAACTGCTTTATTCTTGGAAAACATTAAATTAATACAGTTAATTTCATCAAAGCTATCTAGTAAGGTAAGGATTATTCTTAAAGGAAAAATTCACATTAAATATAGTAGACGTTATTTTTATTTTGCGCGATCAATAAACGTTTGATTCTAATATTAACCGGAATAACAGGAGAAAATTTTGACGTCATCGTTAAGAATTTTTGTTAAAAAATGTTTCTTTCATCAACTAGATATATTTAACCACTAATTAAAATGTTTTCAGCTATTTCTGAGGTTGGGCAATTTTCAGTGGTTAGTGAACCTAGCTCTTTGACATCATTATTACGGGTTTTTATAAAAATTTACCAGTACAAACATTCTATTTTATTTTCTCCAAAAGCAATCAAACAAAGTTGATTTTTCCCGTCTGCCATATTCACAATTCAATTACAACAAAGACTGAAAACATAAACATAATGCAAATCGTTTGTGCTAAGAAAAAAGAAATTTGAAAAACTGTTTGATATATACATACAGTTTAGTTGTTTTGAGATACACAATTCTAAACCACTAAAATATATATTATTTTAGAATTGAATAAAATAAATAATACCTTAAACTTTTTATGCAATAAAAGCTGAAAAATATTTTAAATTAAAATATAAAAACTTGCCTTTATAAAATATATAAATAAAGACAATCAAACTGAGAATCAATTTGCATAATGCATGAACAAGATACCAAATATTCGTAATTTATACTATTTATTTTATGATCACTTTATTCGATCTTTTTACCAATTAGATACTTTGGCCATTTAATGTCTCATCATTTTTTATCAGGTCAAATCAAACAAACGTTCAGTACTACGTTATAGTTATTTGATAACTAAAATGACCCTGTAATAACATTAACATATAATGAATGGGTTATTATACTCCTCTCTTATATCCTTTTATGAAAGTATTATCTAAAAAACAATGAGTATTACGTTTGTTAATGACTTGAAAACCCCGTTTTCGATGTACATGTATGTTCCAGAATGCAGATTAACTCAACACGCAACTAAATAGTTTGATTAAATGCTTTAATACTTAATATGCAGCGCGTATAAAAGAAATCATGCTATGCTAGTCCCCCGTTATAAATAAACGAACTGTTTTATTGATAAACCTTTCATAGTTGTTTCCACTACACGTCATAGGACTTCGGATTCAACAACCTTTTTAAAATTGTTGAGAAAAAAGCTTGTTGATACAAACAATACAAAACATGTTGTTATTGTCTGTGTTTTCTTTTTTTCGAAGACTATTGACCAAATACTTGTAACAACTTTCAGCTCCGACATCTAACAAGGCCGACAACTATAATTATCACATGCAACAACAGATTATTACGACAAGAGCAAGTGTCTATAACTATTTAGATGTGACATGACTCGGTGGAACAAATGATCTTAAAAGTAACTCGTAAATAAAATAAATTCGTACCGAAATTGCAGAAACTGCTGTCTTTCATATGTTAATATATTTTTAAGTATTTTTTTAGTATTGACTATACGTATGTTATATAAAATGTTACGAAGAATTAATTCTATGCAGTATATAGTTAACAACAGTCTTATGTAAGTAGCATGTTGCAAACGCTTTCACTTAAAGACCGATTTTACTCTGTAGGTCACGTGTTCTGATATTTATGATTTTTACATAATTATAATAATGTTCTCAATGTATATTTAAGTGAATGCCATTGTGAACCTGGAGTATGAAGTATCTTGATAATCAAAACAAAAATACCAAAAGAAAAAATAAATAGATGAAAAATAGAATGATATTTAGATTTTTTCATGACATGTTAATAAGAAATATATAACAGGAAAGTAAAGACTAATTTTACAGAATGGTTGTTGTAATCGCATGTGTCATTTGTATTGTCATCGGATATTTTGGTAACATACATTATCATTTTATTCCAGTTTAAAGATTATTGCGTTATTACGATACATTTGCGCACCATATTACAGATGCGGTGTATGATGTTTTTTATTTCTCCATGGAATTGTAATAACTGGTCTATATAGGCAAGTGTCTGGTCATGCTTGTCTAATGGCTTTTGTTTACTTAAATTACATAATTTAAATTACATAAACGGACACGCTTTCATTCACAATCATATTTTAATCGAATTATGGACACATATTGCCTCAATAAAACTAGTTTCATATGAAACCTATATATGTTATCAATCGGTTAATACCATCAAACATAAAAAATAGCAAATATATACCGTTTATTGTGTTTTTTTATAGTGCTTGATCCAAAGATATTCTTCTTGCATGGGTCAGGTCAGGTTGGCATTGTATATACACAATTAATTTTTGTATCCTTGAAGTAACGCAAATGTTTTGGAGACACAACTTTTCTTTACAATTTACGTATTCTTACAGAAAATTTCATTTTATCATTGATTTTTTCTAAACGCATGTGTCCAATTTTGACCATAACATTTCCATATATAGTATACAATGTTTGTTTGTTTCATTTTACGCCTTTAACCCATTACTTCATGAGCATTTTGTGAAAAATGGCTGTTTTCATTGAAAAGTCTCCCGTTACAAGTTCAAATTGCTATAATACTATAAAAACTGCTTCAACACTAATCAAACTTGGCACAAATGTTGACTGGACCATTGCCCTTGCAACAACATGCTCAGGCTTAAATTTTCTGTTACCATGGCAACGAGGGGACATCTCAAAATTGCCAAAAATCACTATTTTGCGTTGATTTTTTCCATCAAAATTGATTTCAAAGTGCTGTAACTTTTCAATGGATTGAGATAGAGTCAAATGCTTTTCAGCGTTGGTTACACGTTACCTTATGATCAATCTGGGGTCATTTACAGCCTCTCACAAGTCCAAAATTTTCTTGGCGATGAGGGGGACTCCGCCACCCTTCAAACCCCCCAAACAGAAGGGGGCACATCCCCCTTCTGGCAACCCCCTGATGTATCTTTTGGTTGGGGGGCCGCGCCGAAAAAGAGGTCACTTTTTTTAACAACATTATTCAAACAAAAACAAGTGTTTGGGGCCTAAATAAGGCATTTTTTCATCATTTGAGACAACAAAAAGGGGGGGGGTGATAAAGGCGTTAAATGGCGTGTATATGAAGTAATGGGTTAATATACAATGTAATCGCAGTAGCAAGAGGGAGAGTTTGTTAAATGTGGAGTATATTTAGGTGATATATTGCATACAAGACTAAGTGTGCATACTTGATCATCAATTTCAAATATAACTATTTTTCTCTCTATTATGTTTTATTCTTTAAAGTATGTAAGACAAAAGACAAAAACTTTTGATACAATCTATTATATTTTTATCAGGGCTGGTCATAAAATGTATCACCAATATTCAAGCTTTTGAAATGTGGTAAAATATTTTTTCATTTATAAATCTTCAAAATCTATTCTAAATTAAAAATAGCCACCATCCTGTAAATTGTCGTTTTCATGTTTTTTAATTGAATGACTGACTTTTGTTGTCTGTTTTTTGTGATATCATGGAAAGTGTACAAGCTGGAGCTTTTTGTTGAAGGGAATTTACTCTTACAAGATGTTATTAACAATACCATATGTATAGTTCTTGTTAATAATATTTTGCACCGTCTTTACACTTTATTTGCTAGGAAAATTGTGGTCTGTTTAAGATGTTGTCTGCTTAATTTTGATTTGTAATAACATTGGTCTGGAAAAACAAAAACTTTTTTTCCTTTCATATCAAGATAACTTTCATATAAGGAAGGTATCCAGTCAGCTTACTTCTATTCAGGTGCATGCTCGTGCTGTAATAATCCAAGAAGAGGAACCTGGGGTCACGGCACTTTATCAACACAGTTAAAGTACATAAATGACATTTAACATAAACAATGCCTACTTTTGATGTCTCATATCTAACAAAAAAGCGCTTATTAATATATAAACATTCAGGCGCAGATCTAGGTTATTTTAGAGGGAACAACAAAATTTGGCTAGTGGTCTTATATTTCCTGCCACTCAATCACTGGGTCATTGATTTAAGTTGCAGATAATATATACATGCTTTATTGTTGATGTATAAGTATCGATATGAAAAAATATGATACTTTTGATATCATGATAAAAACAGCAAAACATCTCTTATGTGGGTCCTTTTGAGATACTTTGTGCTCCTTATGTACCTCTTTGTTCCGATATATTAGTACAAATTCATTTGTTTAAACCCATTCATGTTATTAAACGTGTTATTCCAAAGGATGTTATTTTTAGTTTTGGTATTTTTGGATTTGTGGCAGGGTATTGGTTATGTTTGTCTACTTCCTAATGAAGACATTAAAACTTAAGACTTTCTTTTTTCTTAAATGAAACATAAAGTTCAATCATTTGCATTGATAACAAAATACAATTACAAATATGTTATCTACTTTAATAAAGTAACAGTTTTTTTACAAAAAAGGTGATACATATATAGATTTGTATAGTTTTAAAAAGTACGATAAATGTAAATTTAAAAAATATGAGCTACAATCACTATCAAAATATCAAACCATTTCTTAATATCTGAATAACAATTCGACATGAACCACAGTGACAATGGCTGTTCATTTATTCTTTATTCTTTGCAAGAACACATTTGTATTTATCCATATTATATAAAAACAAAAGAAACAATCACACATATTTGGAAGTTTATGCAATATCACGTACACAAGATGTTGTATATAGTAAAGAATTTGCAATCGTTCGACAGATCTATATTTGGAATACTACATTGATAGACATTCTGAAGGCTGAAAATTAGTAGATGTCTAGGAAATCGATGATTAAAATACTTTATCAACTGATCCATTGAAAACTATGATGTATCCATGGAAATATACAGACAATTGGCATACTGACATATGAAACATTCAATATTTGATTGGGAGGATAATTTAGAATATGAAAACATTCAACAAATACAACATTGATGGATCCATTGAATTTTGTAAATATGCGTATGGCCGACAAACATATATTTGAATTACTCGATGGATCCATGGAAAGCTCTGAATGAGCAGACATTTGACAAAATGATGTTATAGAAAAAACTCCAGTTGTAAAAATTCAGTATGCCCGACAGATTTATTTGTAGTCCTCATTCGATTAACTCAGTCTTCTTTGTCTTCAAAAGTCAGATGTGTCCTCTGTTTTCTTAAAAGAGAAATAAGAACGAACTGATTTTGGAAGTTGACACCCGGTATATGTAGATACAATTAATATTGAGTTCCTTTTTACCGTTTTTATGATAATTAACCAATTACCGCATGTGCATTTTGTGAACAATGTCTGTTTCAAGATCATATTGCAATGAAACTATAAAAAATGTTTTAAAATTAATCAAACTGGACCATAGCCTTTGTAACGGTATGCTCAATCGAGGGGACATCTCAACAGTGCCGAAAATCACTATTTTGCGTTGACTTTTTCCATCAAAACTGATTTCAAAGTGCTGTAATTTCTCAATGGATTGATATAGAATCAAAGGCTTTTCCGTGTTGGTTACACGTGAACTTAAGATTTTTAACAACACTTCTCAAGAAAGTACAACTGTTTGGGGTCTAAATAGGATACTAATTATGATATTTTTCACTATTTGTTGGAGTGAAACGTCGTGAAAACACGCCTATATGAGGTAAAGGATTAAGATATTGCACGCTCATTATGCCTCCGAAATGTTTTTATTTTCATTTCTCAAGTCCTTTTTAATTTTGTTGTCATCTTACAGTTTCCAAAAAGTCACTTGTCGGCCAAACACCTGAGTATCTGATATGTTGTAAAACTTTCAAACATATTTATGTTTAAAACTCATGTTTTCCGTTTATCAGTTCGAAAGTAAGAAAATTACTTTATTCGTTTTTGAGGCATAATGTGCCTATAATTCATTAGTCATTTGTTGGCCGCCGTTGTTTCGTAATGATTAAAAGCCTTAATCTGAATAATTGTTATGATGAATTTATCTCATTCAAAGTTTACTGAATTCAATTATCAATTAATAGAAACAGAACTACCAACAACATTGAACGTGGTCAAATAGCACGGACGTATAGGATAGCTTAGCTCTGTACTAGTGACAAATGCTTGTAAGTTTTGGTTTCCAGCAGGTTATGGTAAAATTAAATAACTATGTACTGAAATTTACAATTAATCAAACAATTTGCTAAAAAATGTATTGTAACCCATAATAAAATATAATTTTAATAGCATTGTTTTAATGAATCATAGTAAAGATCTTTATGTTCTTTAATTTATGAAAAATGAAGTCAATACATTTCTCTTTCCTTCAGGTACTCCGAAACTCTGCAACGACTGAAGCCACTTGTATCTCTGTTTTGAAAGCGCATCTTTTATCTGAAATTGAAGTCATGCCATGTTTTATTGAATTCATTGATGTTTATTTTCATTAACGAAGAAACAAACATAACTGTGACAATCTAGTAAGCAAAATGCTGTTGATTGTGACATCAAATCACATACACAAACTATTTTGTTCTAGACTTACTTTTTAATCTCAATTTAAATCATCAAGATTATGTCGCTTAGTGAAAAATCTGAAATCTACCGATAGCAATGATCATATAAACAAATAGCTTGACAACAGAGCTATCCAGATTACATTTTCTTTCAAATAGTAAAAGATCGATAAAACAAGAAAATCATTTTGTTTTAAACCTATCATTAAACAATGCCTTTTTCTAAAAACTATAATAATTTATTTCAACGGAATAAGACTATAAAAATAGTGATGATACCAATGTGTGGTAAATGAAAAAAAGGGTTACCTTTTTGTCCATCACACAGTGAAATATGAATATCAGCAGTCCCTGTAAATCATACTAATTCTCATCAATACAAAAAGGTCATTCAAAAATGGAAATTATTAATATTCTAGACAATGGTGTCATTTATTATATTATAAAAGCAACATACGAACATTTAGTATTATATAATGATCCGAAAAGAGTACAAAATAATGCTGTTATGAAAACGCTGGCCATACTTTCCTGTATCAGTTTGACACTATTGTCTGGCCCTTGATAACTTAAGGGATAACAATTTTTCTAATGCACAAATGCTATGCTGCGCAACTTTCTACGTTTAGAGAATTACACACCTATCGCAGTCTCATATGGTGTGTGTAAGTTTGTGTCATCAAACGGATTTTAGTTTGGACATAGCGAAGATGTAGTTCTTTATGTAAGAACTGGTTTTATAATGTATTAGGAAAGTTTCTGACTTGTGATCTAGACATGTTTGCTTAAATATGTACACATACATATGTATTATTACATATGTACACATACATATGTATTATTACATATGTATGTCTAAGGATTTTTTTGTAAAGACTATTGAAAAAATGATGAATGAATGTACAGTGCTTACAAGCCAAACAAGTATAACAGGTTCGGGTGGAAAGAAGAACTTACAGTACCTTTAAATCAGATTTTGTCCTGAAGCTTATTGTCATATGATAAAGCTTCCAAAATATTAGAAACAGAGATACATTATGTAGTGTTATTATTATATGCATGAGTATATGACGTATTAAGTAAGGCTATTATGACTGAACGTTACCTAAATGTATATGAGACAATTCTTAACTAAAAGGGGAAATACAACTTATTTAATTATGTAATTAGAAATGTGTGAGCGAATATATCTATTAGTATTTTTAACAGCTCCATCTTTAATAGTTAACGTAAACGTAAACAACACAAAATGAAAAAGAAAATAGCAGACATGATATAGAATAACAAGATACTTTAAATATGCTGTTAAAGGGGAAAAGCTTCACATACTATATTACATAAACTTACTTTGTATATGTACTGCAGATAAAATCGCATTTCTATGGTTTCAAATACATAAAAAAGTAGGATAATATAGCAATTCTCTAGATAAGAATTACGAGAGACTATACACATATAATTAACAACGTTAAAACATTTGAGACATTTGCAAATGTTAAACATTATTAATAGTTACTGTGACGCTATTAATATAATAGTAAAGGAATATGCTTATTTAGAACTTGTACATGACTTGAGTTCTGTATATTTCTTTGGTGTGCTATGCTATAAATCAAGAGGCGCGGGCTCGCCGTGAGCGATCAGCGTTAATCAATTGTATGAGATGCAATTTGTGCCATAAAGATTTTAATTGATAACTGGATACCTGGAAACTATTTAGAATAGCGAAAATGAACTGGAAAACAATTGTGTCACTATTCAGAGACAATGCTCCAAAACCCCATGTCAGACCCATCAACGGCATGAGTATCAATATGCAACGTAATGCTGCTCTGAAATCATATGATATATTACATTATATTAAAATCAGTTTTCACACTTTAAAATACTAAAAGTCCTTAATACACAAATGGAAAATGCGATATTGTATTTCTGTGCAGATTCACTTCAATAGGAAAGTAAAGACAACATAAGAAGGCATTTTTTTGTTATCCAAACATTACAAAAGTCAGTAAAATAATTAAACCTACTTATCATCTTGAATGTATTACTCAAATTCGTTAAATGTCCCTTTGTTAATCAATCTTCGTCTGTAATTAATATATTGATTTCATAAAAGTGTTTATTAAACACACATTAGATATCTAATTTGCAAAATTTTTAAACTGAAAGATAATATTTCAATTGAAATCACAAAAGATCGACTATTGAAAGTTAACGGGTATTTCGTATTGCCTTCACAAAACAAGTGAAGAAAAACATTACACAAATACAATTCGAAAGCAATGATATTGATATTTAAAGAAAGCAAGTTGCACTTAAAGGTTTAAACTAGAGCGATCAGTGATCACATGTGTCGCGTCATGATGGCCAATTTCATGTTGGAACAAGTTTTGTGACAGACGAACAGACAGACGGACAGTGCACAACTAGACTTGGTACTGATCATTCCTGTAAAGTTTGGATAAAATTGCACCAGTAGTTTATGAAGAGTATTCCGGACAAGCTTTTATATAACTGGCAACACACAGAAAAAAACACCTTTTTATCAAAGGGCCATAACTCGACCAAAACTCATCCAACCATAAAACCCGTGCAATGTGCGCAAGGACTTGAGCTACAGATCAATCCTGTAAAGTTTCAATAGAAATTGCATAAGTGGTACAAGAGAAGTAGTCTGGACAAACTTTAAAAATAAAAATCATCAAAGGGCCTTAACTCTGACAAAAATCATTGAACCGAAAATGCTTACAATATGCACAACTAGACTTGGTTCTAATCATTCCTGTAAAGTTTGGATGAAATTGCACCAGTGGTGTATTAGGAGTAGTCCGGGCAAGCTTTTGTGTATCTGGCAACACACAGAAAAAACACCTTTTTATCAAAGGGCCATAACTCGGCCAAAAATCATTCAACCGGAAAACCCGTGCAATATGCGCAAGGACTTGAGCTACAGATCAATCCTGTAAAGTTTCATTGAAATTGCATTAGTGGTATAAGAGAAGTAGTCCGGACAAACTTTAAAAATAAAATTTATTAAAGGGCCATAACTCTGAAAAAAAAATCATTGAACTGGAATATGCTGAAAATATGCACAACTAGACTTGGTACTGATCATTCCTGTAAAGTTTGGATGAAATTGCACCAGTACTTTATGAGGAGTAGTCCGGACAAGTTTTGTGACGGACAGACAGAGGGACAGACAGACGGACAGACAGACGACGGAGAAGTGATCCCTATATGTCGCCACTACGCCGTAGAGGCGACACAAAAGGCATTTAAAGTACAAAAATACACAAAAAAGCAACTGTCATACTTTGCCCGTCCTTTGGTTGATTTCTTCGACATTGCTGTAGTGCCGCACATTGTCCGAATCACTAAGACAACAATTATAAAATTAACCTGAAATGAATTGTTTAAAACAAGAACATGTTTATCAATATATTAACAAATCCATTAATTATCTTTATCATCATCTAGCAACCAAATAACTTGTTTGTTCAAATTTTCATTTTCTTAATGAAATATAACTTTAAACACATGTTGCCCTGACTTTGAGGTGTTTTAAATCGTGACTGACTTTTATTTATGCCGCTTTGACAACTCATGCCAGAAGCAAATACATTAGGGCCTAAGAAATGGTTCAATTCCATGAGAATTAAATGAATCTCTAACGTTCTAAATTGCACGGATAGTCGCCTCGGTTTTATGAAGACCCAAATCGACTTTGCGACTCTAGAACAACTAGATTGCTGATACTGATAAAGTTCATATGATTTCACATAGTCGTTAAAAATTATTTCAAAAATCAAACCATCTTAGAGTGAAACACATTTAATGCATATGCGAATTCAATATCTACTTTCAAAATTTGACAAAGCTCAATAATTTCATACCTTATTACTTCTACGTTGTGATCTTTAGGCTAATACATTTTTAACGGCATGATTTTTCTTAATTTCCGTTATATCCTTTGCAAACTTATGAAGATATAACTTGCATACGAAGTGCTTGTGCAGTCATACCACATACCATGGTCTACATGTTTGTTGCCAACATTTTTATAACAGTATTGAAACCTAATCAAATAACATTTTAACTTCCTTATCTAAAGCAGGACACGTGTTATTGTCATGTTTAGCAGGATCAATAGTAGGGTCTAGCGTATTAGCTTATATAATTTTAGAAAAAGTAATATTACCCAATAAACCGGTAAATAGTTGATGTCCTAAATAATAGACCTTAAGCTGATAATTACCTATGACCTAATATTCTTATCAAAGTCTGAATTATTAATAATAGTAGCCTTCGACAAAAAATATTCATACGACAGTTGAGGACATAGGTAATATTAATGTCATTATCATCCGAAGAAGCTCAAACTTAAGCAAGTGCGGCATTATAAAGATGATTAATTTAAAATGCATTACTGTCCAATAAAAATCGACATAAAAAATGTTCAAAATTATAAGCTGTAATAACGAGCACCGCTAGGCGGAGCATTATATGCCCGAAAATGTTTTTTTTAGTAAGGATGAAGCTTTTGTAAGACTTGGGAATTCGCTGTTCATCCTATAAAATTTAACAGCTGTAGGTTGATTTGATTAATACTTAAGTTATTAATAATGACCTTAACCTTTGATCTTGTGACCTCAAAATCAATAGGGACTTCTACCTTATATGAACAATCATCCTAAGAAGTTTGAATATTGTGGGCCAATTGGAACTTTAATTATGCTCTAGAAACTGTTTTCAGTATTAAGGTAAAAGTGACTTTGACCTTTGACCTTGTGACCTCAAAATCAATAGGGGTCTTCTACCCAATATGGACAATCATCCTATGAAGTTTGAATATTGTGGGCCAAATGGAACTTACGTTATGCTCTGGAAACTGTTTTTGGTTTTAAGGTAAATGTGACCTTGACCTTTGACCTAGTGACCCCAAAATCAATAGGGGTCTTTTGCCCAATATGGACAATCATCCTATGAAGTTTGAACACTGTGGGCCAAATGGAACTTAAGTTATGCTCCAGAAACTGTTTTCAGTTTTAAGGATATAGTGACCTCGACCCTTGACCTTTTGACCCCAAAATCAATTGGGGTCTTTTACCCAATATGGACAATCATCCTATGAAGTTTGAACACTGTGGGCCAAATGGAACTTAAGTTATGCTCCAGAAACTGTTTCCAGTATCAAGGTAATAGTGACCTTGACCTTTGACCTTGTGACCCCAAAATCAATAGGGGTCTTCTACCCAATATGGACAATCATCCTATGAAGTTTGAGCATTGTGGGTCAATTGGAATTAAGTTATGCTCCGGAAACTGTTTTCAGTATCAAGGTAATAGTGACCTTGACCTTTGACCTTGTGACCCCAAAATCAATAGGGGTCTTCTACCCAATATGGACAATCATCTTATGAAGTTTGAACATTGAGGGTCGAATGGAACTTAAGTTATGCTCCAGAAACTGTTTTCAGTATTAAGGTAAAAGTGACTTTGACCTTTGACCTTGTGACCTCAAAATCAATAGGGGTGTGTCTTCTACCTAATATTGACAATCATCCTATGAAGTTTAAACATTGTGGGTCAATTGAAACTTAAGTTATGCTCCGGAAACTGTTTTCAGTTTTAAGGTCATAGTGACCTTGACCTTTGACCTTTTGACCCCAAAATTAAAAGGGGTCTTCTACCCAATATGGACAATCATCCTATGAAGTTTGAACATTGTGGGCCAAATGGAACTTAAGTTATGCTCCGGAAACCAAATTGCTTACAGACGGACGGACGGACGTACGGACGGACGGACAGACAGACAGACAGACGGACGCCAGGGGGTATAACATAATATGCCCTTTCGGGCATATAATAAAGCACGCAAAAAGGAATAGGTGTTATATGTTCAAAATTGGTCGAAAGCTGATCTGTGTTACAAGAAAATAATTCAGTCATACATACCAGTATAACAACAAGAACCGGAGCAAGAAAAGCCCATATCAATCCAGTTTCAGTCGACAACCAGCATCTGGAACAAATCTAGATACATAATATCTTTAACATGAAAACATTGTTAATTCAAAGCTATATGAAACTTTGTACTGTTTATGTGTAACCTTTCCTAGGTCAATCAGCTAAATTCTTGTCGATAAAAGAGAAGTAACAAAAATACATGAACTATAATGTATATTATACTTTGGGTTTTTTTCTGATTGTTAATAACAGCATAGAGTTAGTCTTTATTGTTTTTGGGAGGTTGTTTTAACTACAACGTATTTGGGCTATACTAAAGAAGCACCGTTTTAAGCTTTTGGAAAAAATGTTATTGCTCTATTCGTACATTTATAACATTATATTATCATAATATAAACACAAAAGTAGCAAGAAGGCTGAACCACGAGTTCTTACAACATCAGCAAACGGTTCTACCGTGATATATGGTGTTATTTAATAATATTAAGACAGCTACATACTACCTGTTTTTGTAACTGTCTTAATATTATTGTAACTGTTTTAAACTTGCGCTTGTGCAATGGCATAGAAACGTCAAAGAACTGCAGTGCCGCATGTGATTCTATTGGTATATAGCAAAAAAATAATCGTACAACTGATAACAAGTTTCATAATGAGGCCAATAAGAAAATATGTAAGAGTATATACAGCACAAATATTTTGCATAATTTTGCATAATAACTGCGCATGCAAGTACACATCAACGGAGAGGATAATATGCTTTCGTTACACGAAAACGAAGGTAACACGTATATTTTTTTCTGCAATGCACATTATTTTCGTTCATTTGCAGAAGCCCTTAGACTTTCCGTCGCTCTGTGGGCACACTCGTGCTTCTGCTGATGCTAATGTACGGACAAATTATGCATTTAAGTTATATTCACAAATCTATCAGAAAACAAAAATGAAAGTAAAAAACTCAGTTTAAAAACTCGTTTCATAAAATAAAACAAACTTACGTCTGTTCGGTTCCATATCCATGAAGTTGTGATACACCCATAGATACCACGACTATTATAACAGCGATGACTTGAAAGTAAAGGATATAGTATTTAAATGTAACATACATACACATGCTATTGACTTCCCTTGTTTTCTGTAATCATTCAGTATTTTTTTTATTACTTACGTTTCATAACATAAGGAAATATATATGCAGGTAGAAACTAAATGAAATATATTGCCAGATTAAATGAAAGCCAACGCATCTCTTGTGTACAAATGTATTTTGATATAGTATATAACTGTGTAAACTTTCCAAGTGTCGATAAAATTTAATGTGAATTAATAATAACCTCATTGAATCAGACTTTATGACACCATCGTGGAATTTATCAGAAATATCCTATACTATACTCTACAGTAAGGAGATCGGACCTACGGAAATGACCGGTGCATTATACGGAGCAAATAATTGGAAAATGCCAAAGATAGTACAGAAATCCTGCGTACAACGGTAATATTATAATGTTAAAAGGAATATGAGTTCATCTGATTTACTCAAATACATATATACCATAAGACGCTATCATTAGTGGTATTCCAGGTTTTCTAGAACTCAGTGGTTTGAGAACCGTATATGAAAGATTACATCCCTCTGTCAGCATTCCGAAGAAAATTATAAGAAACACCAGGTGAAGAAGTACCGCAATTAATGTGCAAACGTCCTACAAATTGATAAAAATGTATCAGATTAAGAAAAACGGAACTACGAACTACTAAGAAACAAAAGATTTCTTACAGAAAATTGGACAAAGGTATAGAGTATAAGAATAAATACTGTATTATTTTATTTAAAACAACAATCAAATTGTTCATACTGAGATATATATTGGCCTATATATTCAAATACATCTGCTTAAATTTTTTAGGGTGAATTATTGTGGCAAATGCTGGAATAGCCGTTCACAACATGATGTCAATATTTAACATAATGACTTTGTACGTATAGAATTAACAATATAACCAGGAGATTAACATGTAGTAAACGTGTATGACATATGTCATCTCCTTTCTACACCCATAAGAATGCACAAAGCAGAATGGCGCGAAAACTTGTTCGGTGCTATACAGTGAACATTTTAATTACATTATTTACGATATATTTATATATTATTGCTGAAAAAAAACATTAAACATAAAGTAAAAGTAAAACATAAGTAAAAGTAAAACAATTAGAGAACTTTAGAAATGACATAAAGTTTATATTTACAACATAATCTTTACGAGATGGTCTTTAGATACTGTTACAGTGTTTGGTTTTAGTTTCGTAATGCTCAATTATGGATTACCTTGTTTTCTGTTCTGTTTATCCCGGCAAGAAACAGAATATATGCAACAACTAACCAACAGGATAAATTCATGTGAATGATTGATCGCACAGATTTAACGAACCTGAAAAAATTTTTATTTATTTTTAAAATTTAACCTTCAGAATGATGTAGTTTAAATATTATGCCTCCTGAAAATCGGCATAGTTCGCCATCTTTCGTGATTAATAAAGATCAGGAAATATTAAATGTTACTTCGAACTGCCACTGAAGAGACGAATATGAACCATCATCTCAATGGCACAAAGTTTTCTTTAGGTCAATCTATACTCATTTTAAAAGCCTAATTTGCCACAGAGAATCTTCTTTTTTATAAATAAAAGCCTTTTATTTTTGTGGTCATATTATCGCTTCCAAAAAAGAAGGTTACTTATCAGCCAATTACATAATATATCATATTTGTCTTCTGTCGTCTTTTGCTAATAAGATCATTATAGCGATTAAGTATTTTGGCTACTTTAACGACAAGTTAATTTCACATTCAATGCTAATTCTCGAGAATATTATCGTCTATTTTTTCTTTAAAACCAGTATATTTATATTTTAAGAGATATGGGTTCGATTTGTTTTGTTTTGGTTAAATTGTCATATTTTCATTCTTATTTTGTGTGATATAACGAATGACTTCAAACCTCCAGAAAAATGCATGTATAGCTAAACACAATACTACACATATTATGGAAACGATACATCCTATCATGGAAATGATTGATAGTGCGTTGCTTTGATCCTCGTCAATCTGTAAGTATAACATATATACATAAAAACTAAAAAAGGCCCGACCCTATTGTAGTTGATACGATATCTGAAAAAAATATTCTTGTTTTAAAATTTCTACGTTACTCCACAACAAATTGCCATGGAGACATGTAAGTAAATTTATAAGTAGAACTTTTCCAATTTCCTTATTTAACTCGTATTAAAAAGAAGTTGATAAAAATAAATTTTCTTCATAGCATTTTACTCCCTTGTCAAATACAAATGTATAACAAGCAAATCATATCTTTATTTGCACAAACGCACTCTACTTACAGCATACACTATGCTTCGGCAGTAAATATACTAAAATGAAAGTTACAATATTAGAATATTAGAATGGGCCTTGTGCAAGGATGACTACCATGCCATTTGACAACATTCTTGATCAATTAAAACAGTTAGAGGTATTTTCCCATTATAAGTCAGAAAAGCGGGTACTTTGGAAGAACCGACCTAGCTAGTAAGCTCTTTAGGAAAATATAGTTTATTAACTGTCTTTAGCGATTGTTGCGACAAGCATTGACTAAATCATGACTGATTGATATTTATTTGTCATCCGCCGGTGTGTCCGCTGATACTAATGTGTCTTCCTATAAGCAAAAACTATTTATATAAGTGAATTGTGCAAAACCTTTTAGTAATTACTAACCTTTGTAGAGGATGGACTCATAAGTAAAGCAAAATTAGTAAGATGATTGCAAACGCAAACAACAACATCTTTATCCTTGTTAACTATTTTCTGTCTACATCCCTCGTCAGACCAGTAACCTTGTGACGTTTCGCTTCATAATAAAGATACAATAATCAATATACTGCACATTTATTACATCGACTTTCATTGGACAACTTTGACGATAATATAACTTAAATACAGAAAAATGCAAATGTATTAAAAGAAAAGGGAAAGAAATTGTGCAATAATATTAGAATTTAATAGGTGATTTGACCACATATATAGAGAATATGCATTTTTATTTTTCTATAAATACAGGTCTTATTTTTATAGTGTGATTTCAAACTAAGTATTTATGAGTGGCTCTAGTCACGAGTAGAATATGATAAATTTCATACCACAAGATGAAAATAAATCCTGTTTTCACAGAAAAAAAACTTGAATTTTTGGGTGTATTCTATACATTTTATCTTTTTTAACATTGCCATATAAAAGACTTTCCCTTAAATATTGTGAATTGGCAGAATTTAGAAGGAAGTTGTTTCCTTGCAGTAAAAAATAAATTTTTACAGTGGAAATACGAAAAATGAAAATAAACATTTTATTTTATCAATATTTCTCAATATTTCCTTTAAAAGTATATAATGAAAACAGATATATTTGCTATATATATATATATATATATATATATATATATATATATATATATATATATATATATATATATATATATATATATATATATATACATTATAGCAGGGATAAAAAAGTGGTAACCGACTGTGTGTATTATTAATTAAACAGTGACAATTGCTAAGAATACCACAGGAGTCTATCTGAAAACATTTTACAGGGACACTTCCAGCCGGTTGACAATATATTTAATAATGATGATTGCGATATTAACGGTATTATACAAGAACTAGAACTCTCAATGGAAAAAAGTTGAACTGACTTTAAGAAAATAAGGAAAAGGTCGAGAGTATGAAAAATTGCATGATTTGATGCGGATTGTAGACAAGCAAAACGAAAATCATAAATATTGCTTAAAAACTTTAAAAAAAGAAAATGTAATGAAACGTTAAATGTTTATTTAAGAAGTAAACGATATAATAGAAATATATGTAACCATACACATTAGTTACATAATAAAAATAATTATTATAAAGAAGATTCATGTGTTTCCTATACATGTATATTGGAATAAGTAACAGATTATCTTTGTACAAAATGACTGAGGCTATGTGCACTAATTTAAAAGCAAAAAAGGTACTTTTATACATTCTCAGTTCATTTCAACATATTTCTTGTTTACCATGTAAAACAATTTTCAAGATTTTTTATTGTACAGTTGCATCCATAATATTATATGGATCAGAATTGTGGGGTCTTAAAGACAATAAATGTATAAACATTGTTCAATTATATGCTTGTAAACGTTTTTTGTTACTGTCAATGTTTCTGTTTGTACTGACGCTAATCTTGGCGATCTGGGTAAATACCCAATGCATATATTTACTGTAAAATGTTGTATTAGATTTTTTCGGATTAATTCTAGAGATAGATATATACTGTTAAGTAATGAGATGTGGTGTTTTATGACTGTATCAGATACAAAAATTAGGTGTTCTGATTAAATCTTTATGATACATATAGTAGCCAGTCCTTAATTATTTATAGTGCTATATGAATAGTGTCTTAATGACCAGTTTATGCAAATTTGGCAATAAAAGTGTATAGATAATGTAAAATTAAATCATTATACATGTATTATGTATAAGACTTCCTTTAAAACTGAAAAATATATTTCTGTAGTAGATATTGACAAGTATAGAAAGTGCTTTGCTAGTTTTAGAAGCTAGTCACATTGTTTAATGGTTGAAAAGGGTAGACATATTAATCTCGATAGAGAATCGTGATTTTATGTATTGTGAACCAATTTAAAAGGACGAATATCACTTTTTTTTCGTGTGTTCATTCTATGAAATTTACGTTCATCTTATATACTATTGTATTATTATTGATATCTGACTGCTGAAAAGTTTAACTCTTTGATGGCAACTGAAGACCAGTCATGGCACGTAATGTTGATATGTATATTTATTATGCAATGGAAGAAAGAGACAATTTCCTCAGATATTTTGAATAATGAATATTGAGATTGTATTGTATAATTATATAAGACATTTGACAATTACTATATCTCCAGCAATGCTGATTTGTATTGCATATTTATGTACTATGTATGGGCCGGAGGCCTTTTCAACAATAAAGCTATTGAATTAATATAATTGTGACAAAATATACGAAGCAAAGGTAGCATTTTTTGCCAGCAGTTACACAATTATTTTACAATCTAGTTATTTTGTGTACATAAGATAAATAAAGTAATTATTTTGATCTGATAAACAAATCTTTTTGGAAGTAGGATACATGTTAATCAATTAACTCTCTAGGAAATATGTCTCGTTATTAATCTAACTGACTCGCAAACTAACTAGTTAATAAAAGTAAAAATAAGTGTTTAAATGCTGGCATAATTACGCCACCATACAAAATACAGCAACAAAGATGAACTTTGATCTGCGAAAAAAATATTCTTGACATTAATATGATACTTTACCTCTTCGAGTCCTTCCAAAAAGAACATCTCGCATTATCCAACGAATGCTGAAAAAAAGAAACAATAAGTAAACGTTTTACGAAAAGGTTATTCACTTCTGTAGAACATCTCTTGCACTTTATGAACAGCTTTTTTGTTAAAATATCGACGAACTTGTTTTAAAAATACTATTGCGCAAGTATTACAAAACGCATGCCTATGCATTTTTTTAAAAGTCTATTTACCGATTGCTTTCGTAGCTAAGAGGTTAAGGACACCAATATAAAATCACTTGACGCTCAGCGCTGTGGATTCGAATCCCGTCAAAGACTTTTGATTCTATCATGTAAAACGGACGGACGGACGAAAAATGGTCTCCTTAGGTACCTGTTTATGCTTGAAATAATGCATTAAGTGACTGCTGTGGTCATTTGTCAGGCTTTCCAATTTTAATTCTGTCGTCAGTTAATACACCAAAACATCCAAATCAAACAACGCCATGAAGTTATTAAGCACATTTTATTGATCTATCTTTAAGTAAGACCTCTTGCCTGACCCTTAAATAACCAGATATACGTTTGGTGTTCAGTCATGAGTAAGAACTTTAAAGATTTTAATGAACAATATAAGAACAAAAAGTACCAATTTTTCATTTATATCTAAATTGAAAGTTAACAAATCCCGCCAAGATGGCCTAAATACGTCACCATGTACATGAAGTTTCATACTTTATAAAAGAATATATCGAAGTTATTTATCTTCAATCTTCAGTCGTGTAAACATTGCCCATGTACTTACCTAAAATTGCAATCTCATAACATTTTGGGACATTTGATGTGGAAAAAAATGACTTACGTTAAACAACTGAAATGTAATTTCCACTGGGTTAACAAGTTGTCGCTTAATGATGGGATAAAATGTAAATGATATGACCGGGGCATTCACACGAAGATCTTCAGACCTGATGAGAAACGAAAGAGAAAGAAATGGTTACGAATTGCTATATGAAATATGTATCAATATCTGTCATAAGATAATATCTCAAATAAATATTTATGAATCAAGTTCAGAACAATGTTATAAAGCAAGCATCTGGGAAATTTGATGCCATCTTTTTTGTTCGACACCTAAGGCAACGTTTTCAAGTAACATGGCATACAAAAAAATGTACCAAGTAGTGAACGTCGACTCGTCACGGCGCGTGCCCAAGACCACTTTATTCGAAACACCAACCAGCGCAATCGCATCCAAAATGCCAGAGATACTGCTGCTAACACCCCTGGTACACATAACAACAGTTTATCTGCCCAAACAGTTCGCAATTGCTTACGCAACGGTGTGCTATGTGGAAGTCGACCATTGTTGGTTGTGTTTTGAGGTGACGTCACCGCTTAAATCTTGTTAATTGGACATGAACACACCAACGCTGGCTTGGTCACAATTGAAAGGCATTCTTTTTTCTGGAAAGTCGAGGTTTTCATTCATCGAGCTTATAGAAGGATTTGTGTACACTGTAGGAGAAATGAACGTTTTGCCGACTGCTGCGTATTTGAATGAAACCAATTTTTGGGTTGGGGGATTTCTGTCCTGGTCTGGGCAGGTATAACATTCGGCTTTCGCACTCATTTCGTCGTTATCAAAGGAAATTGGAACGCTACCGAGATAAAATTCACGTGAGACATGTTATCCAACTGTTTCAAAATAATGCCAATATCACTCTTTTTCAACATGATACTACCACAAGCAATACACCTAGGGTCGAATAACATTGCATTTATTATTGATACGCCTGCTAAACGCCCTGATCTGAATTTCATTAACCATCTTTGGGATAATTTGGACCATCGTGTAAGATGTCGCCGTGTTTCACCGTCAAACGTCATTTAGATAAGACAAGCCTTAATCCTGGAATGGAACACCATTCCACAAGCGGAAATCAATACGCTGATCCCAGGCAGTCCTTCATGCTTAAGGTGGTTATACCTGATATTAATTTGTGATTTTGTAGGGCTCCCCATTCTGCAGTTTAACTATCATTTCACTACTCTTGGACTAACCCGAGGCAATATTTTTCACAAACAATCGCAATGAAATACTCTTTTAATACAAATAAATCTACTTTAATGCGATTTTCATATGCGTATCTCTCCTCTAAATACAGGGGATTTTTTTTGTTTTGTTCAGTATATACTATGATTTTCATAAAAACATGATCAATCAGCACAAATAATCAAACAATGCATGTCTGATAGAGCTTCATACCAATTCTAATTAACTGGATCAATTTGAACTTATTTATGCATTTGATAAAGTAAACAATTGGTCGCAAAAAAGTGAATTGGATTTTTTATTTGCATACAAACAAGTATTTAATAAGTTGTACGATCAGGTGAAAAAATGAAGTCTTGAAATTTTATATTATAAACAAAACAGTTAATAGATCACTGTGGTGATACTACATTTGCAAACAGGATATTATGAAGTTAACTTGAATTAATCTTCAAAGAAAAAATAATTTAAAGAGAAATAAACCTACTTAGTGCTGCTCGTAAACGACGGTATAATCATTGAAAGATTTCTGTACATTATTCCACTAAAAGATTCGACAGTGCCTGCAAAGTAGTAACATTTAAAAAAAACTCATCATTTAATATTCAAAAAGCATGAATTTAAAAATATGATAATTGTGTAGTGATATTTTCAAACATTACAATGTAAACAATAGAGATAAAAAAAGTTATAAGAAAATAAGTATTAAAATGATTATAGAAGGCTACTTAGAAAGTTGTTTTTATCAGGAAGTTTCTTCCATGTGTTGAGAGCATACGTTACACAGCTTACGTTGCTTCACAATACGTAATCATTTTCGTTTGAATAGCAGTTGATAAGGCTTCCTGTTGCTTTTACTCAATTAGACGGAAAAGAGTGGAGCATAACAAGTTATACTTAATGTTCACATATTCCTTCAATAAAATATTACAAGATGACAAGGAATTATAGAAAAATTGTGAAATTTGAGAATTTATTTAATTCATAAATGATAAACACATTTCTATGTAAACAATTATTATATTATAATATTCTAACGTTTAATAGTAAACAAGAGGGCCAAGATGGCCCTAGATCGCTCACCTAGCCAATCGAACTCATCCGAGCAAATTTGTACACAAGCACCCTGACCAAGTTTCATGACGGGTGAGTCAAAACTGTAACCACTAGAGTGTTAACATGGATTTTTCATATTAGAGCAGTGTGACTTAGTTTTTGACCCCAGGTAACTCATATTCACACTTGACCTAGACATTATCAAAACAAACTTTCAGACTAATTTCCAGGATATATGGATCAAAACAGTAATGACTAGAGTGTTAACATTTTTTTTCTATTTTTAGCACCTGTTACCTAGTTTTTCATTCGAGATGACCCATGTTCGAACTCATCAGGCAATTACATAGACAAGCATCATGACCATTGACCAATTTTGATGACAATTGAGTCAAAAATGTGACCACTAGAGTGTTAACAGGGTTTTCCAATTATTTGAGCGGTGTGACCAAGCTTTTAACCCCATGTGACCCATATTCGAAGTTAACCTAAAAATCATCAAAACAAACTTTCAGATATGTTGCCTGCTTTTTAAATTTGTCTTTGGACGTCTTATCTGTCATATGCAGGCTTCATAACCTCTGATCCCCTTTCAAAATTCCATTTTATTTAGTTCCGCCCATTGTTTTCTCGTTTAGGGCACACGCTTTATATTACTTGGGGACCGTACGCCGCTTTTCATGGAATTGCACGGAAGTGTCACATTGAGGGTTCCATGATAACCGCCTTATGAACACATCTGCGGATGTTTCTAAATTCAAAATTTTACTATTTCATGTTTTAATGTTGAATTCTGCTTAAGCCGATGCTAGGGGGCGTGGACGGTAACTTGCACTTTCCAGTACCGTCCATGAACAGGCTCAATCAAACCGAGCCTGCAACATTTTCAATTTTGTCGCGTTGGGCTTTCTTTAGGGATTCTAAAGTTATCTATTTCAGAGCAATTTCCAGAATATTTGGATGAAAACAATACCCACTAGTGTGTTAACCTTTTTTTTTTTCTTGTATTTTTAGCTCCTGTTAGCTAGTTTTTCATCCGAGATGACCCATGCTGGAACTCATCCGAGCATTTACCTAGACAAGCATCCTGCCAAAGTTTGATGACAATTTAGTAAAAAAAGTGACCACTAGAGTGTAAACAAGGTTTTTCCATAATTCGACGGTGTGACCTAGTTTTTGACCAAAGCTAAACCATATTCGAACTTGACCTAGAAGTCATTAAAACACAAATTTTCAGACTAATTTCCAGGATATTTGGATCAAAACAGTAGCCACTAGAGTGTTTACAAGATTTTTCTATTGTTAGCTCAGCGATGACCTATGACATTCAACTAGCTCATGTGAGCTAAAAACACATTTTGTAATAGTTATAGTTTGCAAACATAGTTTGATACATGTAATCAAGCATAACATACTGTCACAGTCAATCATAAGTTTGTCCTTCCTTGGTCTAGCCCACTCTAGGAAACTTCCTTTTTCACGTTCAGGGAAACTCAGTGCTTCGCTACAGGATTGTACTGATCCCATTTTTAAATCTGTCATATAAAACATAATTATTAAACACGTCATTATTAGATTAATGTATAATTTCATGTAAACATGAAATGAATTATTATTGATTATCTATATGACTTAATTCAAAAATCGATGTAAGCGATTGATATTAATTTTGATAAGAATTCAAAAGGCAGGAAGTTTTATATATTGGCAATTAGCATCTTATTTTTTTATAAGGATAACATCTTAGAGAAATAACTAAGAAAATGAGTTTATATCTAATTTTTGAAAAAAAAGAGGCGTACACAAATTTGACTTTGATATCTCTGCAGTGATATTTTTTGAAGTTGTCAATATCTTCTCCACAAAACTATCTGTTATCTTTAGAACAACGTCTGCCCCAGAGCCTGTCTAAATAAAACAAATTATGATCAGAACAATGTAATTATCTGTAAAATGTCAATATAAAACATACTTAAAGCAGAACAATGTCCGTCACAAACCTGTCTAAATATCCATTCCAATCCTAATATCTGCTTAAATAATTCTTTACTAAATGAAAACAATGTCTAACATGGAATACGTTTATATAAAAAATACTATGATGAGAACAATATATTCACTGCAAGGTGTTTATGAAAAGCACATCATGATCGTAACAATTTGCACCGCTCTTCATGGAATGTCACTAACGTTTCATATTGTAAGTTCCATGATAACCGCCGTAAGAACACATCTGCGAATGTTTCTTAATTCAAAATTTCATCAGTACCATGACTTAATGTTGAATTCTGCTTAAGTCTGCACTGGGGGACGGTAACTTGCACTTTTTATTACCGTCCATGAACCGGCTCAATCAAACTGAACCTACAACATATACAATTTTGTCGTTTTCGGTGTTCTTTAGGGATTCCGGTTTTCTCTATTGCATAACAATTACCTGATTTATGTTCACCTTCCACGTTTGTATTGTACTTTCATCCAGAATATTGTTGATTGTTTGTACATATGCCTAAAAAGAAACAATACATATTTTTTGCAATACCAAAACGTTCATTCAATTTTGATGCTGCTTCCTAGTTTCGTGTCCATATGACACTGTACATGTATAATATATGTAATCCAAAACATACAGTACCATTTTAGTATTTCGTATAGCTAGAAAATTGTTTTATGATCTGAACAACATGGCAATGTTTAAATACATTAAGCTATCAGTGAAATACTGAGCTGCCACACAGCATTTTACTATTAACATCCTGGCCTCAAGGTTATAAAACTTCTGTCTGAGTTCTGTCTCAAATCTCAGGATTTTCATTGGTCAGTGTACATTCTGTGGCAGTTTCTGACCAATCAAATACCTGAGATCTGAGTATGAGCTTGGAGAATTTCTTTATAACCTCGGGGCCTGTTGTAATTCTGGCGCGTTGGGCTCATATAAATATGGACTGGCATGTCAGAAATTAAATTAATCAATCACCATAGTGATGCTATTTAATACTTTTAGTTTTTTATAATATTTTTATACGATTAAACGTTACAAAGTTTACTTACGTTTGTTATGTTTTCAAGGTTTGTTGTGTTGACTGTTACCACATCAATTATCTTTGTAAGTATATTAAATGCAGTGACTATATCTCCGATAAAAAGTGTATTATTCTCGTAAGTGGCGGATGTCGCAATTGATAGTTCATCCAATACTTCAACTATATCTACCTGACCAGTCTTCATGTCCTCAATCAACTGTAATACAAGAACAACAACTTGGGAACAGCTTCAGTAGTTTAGTCATAAAGCAGTCATAAAGGTATAAAGAATGATTTCAATTTTAAATTAAAAAGCAAAGCGTTAGTAACCCTTTTTATCCTTAAGTTCAAGGCAAAAAAAATGTATTAATTGCCTTATTTGACTCATGTTCTCATAAACCGGTGTGAACGTATATATTATTTAATAATGTACATTTACTTCGCCCATTTTTCGTGGTAAAGTCATGACGTTTCCATTTGTAATCCAACTCATTTTTATTTCATTTTCTGTTGTTTGAAGACTATATCGTGAATTTATTGTAACCAGCATGGTTAAAGACTTTAAATAATTTTATGTAAGGAAGCTTTTAAGTCAGCATGGTTAGGTACATCTGAGATGTAGCTATCTGGAAATACTTAAAAAGTGAACAGTGTCTTTGAGACTAAACAAATTTATAATTCTTTAATTCTAATACCTTTTTGTAAATGTTATCAATTGAAGATTTCGTACAGTTGTACACGGGATCCTGATAACCTCTTTCTGTACAGTACCGTGATACCTGGCCTGCAGAAAAACGAATATTTTGGTATTGTATTGTTATAATACGCTTTTTGTACTAAATAAAAGTTGTACTTGTTTTATATTTTACTTTACTTGGCAAAGTTTGAACGTCCCGCGAAAAGATTCGAAAAAGTTCATTTCACTTTCTACACCTTTGTCTCGTATATACATGTATATATTTTCACACAAAAAAGCATAACATTATAATAGCAATTCTGTATCACACCCTGTATGCAATAATGAATATCGGCTGTCTTTAAAAAGTAATACTTGAAGTCAAACTGACTATATTTTATTGTGATTTAGACCAACACTTGAACGTTAGACCCGGTAATCCTTTCCCATTTGTTTAAAGTATAAATGACGTGAAAATAAACTTAATTTGATACAAGCTTCACATGAATTTTAAATCCCATTAAGTAGGGACATCAAACAAAGCAAACTATCACTTAAAGCTGACTCAGACAGGGCAAGGTGTGTGTTGAGTCTTAAATTCAAGTGTATTTTAAGGGCAAACGTTAGAATTTAAGGAATAACATTTCATTGTGCATAACAATGGAATACCGCCCATCAATCATATTGGAATATTATTTTGGTCAAACTGTAATATCTTCATGTTACAATCTCCAAACTGTTATTGTTGATTTTATTTTTGCAATATCAAAAATTCAAGTTAAGAAGTATTATAGAAAATAATACCAATATATCCAGCCGGGCATTCACGCCAAGTGGTCTGTTCTAGGGTCCCTGATTCCCATTGTATATTTTGGTAATCTGTATCGCTTAAACACTTAGTAACTGAAAGTGTAAGGAAACTTGTGTTCTATTATTATACAAAAACATATTTGGGTTACAGTCAAGATCGGTTTCTATTGTATGTTGTTAACATTTATTATTTGGCACTATTCATGTCCCGGCCTCTAAGTACTCTCCTGATTTTAGTTGATATCCTTCTCCAGGTAGGTAACTTTGCGATGGTCCTGTCTTTATATTTATGATTTTATTTTTTTTAAAGATGTAAATTCCTTTTACTTTCATCACATTGTTCAAATACATTAATTTAACACGTAACTTAATTGCATAATTTCTTATGTACACAATTTATCAACTACGTAGACACTTAATTTAAGTACGTTACCTAAATTCAAATATTTCTAGGTCAAATGGATTTACTTGTTTACTTATTTCCAAACAACTAAGAAATATAGTGGTATAGATTTTCACCTGAACTACTTACATTCAATAAGTAAAGAAAAAGTGGCATTTATTGTTGGAAAGGCTTTGTCTGAAGCCCTAACTGATAGAGTGCAATTCATGATGTCGCTCGGAACTTCATTTTGCAGTTTTACCATTCCATTATTAGTAATGTCAAACACTGAAATAATTGAATATCATTGATATTATATTGAATTTATACGTATTGTTTTTAAACTAAAATTACAATTTCAATGGATTAATTACATTTCATGGCCAGATGTCTTAAAAGAAACTATACTATAGCTTGCAAATAACACTTTTATTACCTACTGATGTATGCAGTTTGTCGATATGAAACAAACTAATGCAGGAAAGAGTTTAGCGGTTATAGTAATACTGTCCTATTCATACAAAAAAGGTATGAGGTAGAATTATCAGAATTATTTTTGACAAGTTATTTTTTTAATTTGTTTCTTGACGACTTCTAAACATTAGTTCAGGAATATGACCAACACGTGAATTCAATCAAGGCATACATGCACCCATTTTATATAAGCAGTCTGAAAATAGTACATGAAATGATTTGACATTGGCCCGCCGTGTGCCTATGTTGCCTGCTTTTTATCTTTGTCTTTTGACGTCTATCTGTGATATGCAGGCTTCATAACCTCTGATCTCCTTTCATAATTCCATTTTGTTTAGTTCCACCCATTGTTTTCTCGTTTAGGGCACACGCTTTTTGTTAATTTGGGACCAAAAGCGATAGCGATTACGTCGCTTTGAATGGAACGGTACTATCTGCGGAGGTTTCTTAATTCAAATTTTTAATTAGCCGGTCCTAGGGGGCGTGAATATTTTTCACTTGACAATATCATAAAGAACAGGCTCAATCAAACCGAACCGGCAACATTTTCAAATTTTGCAGTGTTGGGCTCTCTTTGGGGATTCTTTTTTTTCTATTTTCTCTACGGCGAGAATGTCACGCAAGGAATTTGGAGAAGTATGGTAGAAAGAAAATGATAGAAATGAACCTGTTTTTATATGCCACTTACCGCCTTGACACTTGTAAATACCACAAAACTGCCATCTTAGTTTAGGGTCTGTAGTGTAACACCACGGTAACCCTTCGCCGTCGGGATCTCGACAATAATTAGCAGCATCAGATACAGAAATGTCTGGAAATTTATGGGCTTTATTTCGTGAATGTTTGTGAGGAGTTTGTGAATCCCACCTCTGACACGTGTGCCCGTCGAATGTTGTGGTTTTAAAGCCGTTGTATCGATTAGAAGAAATCGAAGTCTTGAGACAATCTGAAACTTTTACGATGAAAACCATTTGATATGTTTCATACTGAATTTGAATTTTCCATTTTGTTCTTCCTGACTAGTATTTAAAATGATATCTGAATTCGGTGAAGGAACATTTGATTCAAATTCAGTATCAGTATATACAATCAACAGTATAGGAAAACATAAGCATGTAACCATAGAATCATTACGGTATGACTGACTTTTAAGCTATTTCAAAGGAAAACAAGGAAATTAATACTGGTATTAGTTATGACGAAATACAAACGCAGATCCAAAAATCAAAAACTTTCAGTAACAGCTATCTGAAAAAGTATGCTACTATTTTGAAGAAAACGACAACGATGATATAGTTTCGCGCACGGCAAAAATTGCCTAAACTGGTAACGACTGCACCTTTTTGTCCCCAATTTGTTTGGTTTTTCAAAGTTTGATGATTGCAAACCGGGTTATATCAATGATATTTTTAACTGTGATGTCGAAAATGATAGAAATGAAGCTGTATTAATATGCCACTTACCACCCGGACACTTGTAAATACCACAAAACTGCCATCTAACGCTAGCGTTTTTAGTGTAACACCACGGTAACCCTTCGCCGTCGGGATCTCGACAATAATTAGCAGCATCAAATACAGAAATGTCTGGAAATCTATCGGTTTGATTTAGTGAATGTTTGTGAGGAGTTTGTGAATCCCACCGCTGACAAGTGTGCCCGTTGAACGTTGTGGTTTTAAAGCCTTTGTATCGATTAGAAGAAGTCTTGAAGCAATCTGAAACTATTACATTAAAAACCATTTGTTATTTTTCATATTTTCTTCCAGGGTATTAGTTTAAATGTTATCTGAATTCGGTGAAATAACACTAACTCAAATTTGCTATCATTATATACAATCAATAGTCTGATTATATAAAAATGTAATACATAATAAAGTCTGTGATAGGATAACATAACTGTGTGGTCAAAACCCCGTTACATTATGACTGATCTTTTACTTGTATTTGTTTTGACGAAATACAAACGCAGTTCCACAAATCAAAAACTTACATTTACAGCTGTCTGATATCAAAGAGTATGTTACTTCTTGGAAGAAAACAACAGCGCTCATATAGTTTCGGGCACGGCAAAAATTGTCTAAATTGGTAACAATTGCACCCCTTTTTGTCCAATGAGTTTGGTTTGTTAAAGTCTGATGATTGCAAACTGGTTTTAAATCACCGATGTCTATAATTGTGATTTCGATTATGGAATGATCTTTTAAGCCTCCGCCGTCCCTCACCTTCAAATATATAGTCATATTTTTATTAGAATCCTTGTGCGGACAGGGAGAAAACATGTTGGGATTGACAAACCAGAGTGATGTTCTCGTTATATAACGGTAAGGTCTGCACGGATAAATTGTTCCTTTAATTAAGAGAAGGTAACAAAGTGAACACAAATATTTACGCCATCCAAGTGACTTTGAAACAAATGCATGTACAAGATATTTGTTTCTATTATTACGAAGTACGAAGTACGTGTTCAGTAAGCAGATACGGTCAACATGAGAAATTTATAGGCTGTTAATTCTATAATATTATTTTACTAAATAAAAACCGAGCAAACTGTATATATATGATACATTTTATGATACATTTCTCTTTGTTATTAATTCATTAATACAATTATATATATCACAATAAAGAAAACTGTAAAAAAGCACTTGAAGTTCGTGAAATAGAAAAAAACACGCTCACCTCGACTTCAAAAGTGAAGGTAGGTCCACGTCTTTCATTGTGAATGACATTTTGACTGAAAATGGTGTCTCATTTTAAATGTATGCAAATGACTATTCTATAAAATAAAGACAATAATGAAAGAAGCTCGTATTTACAAAAAGTTCAATACCAACAATTTATTTATTTATTTATTAAACGCTTTTTTATTTATCATACCGTTTTTTGTTCGTTCCTTTATTTTAGTAAGCTTTTTTTTGGTTATATATGATTATTTTAGACACTATGTCTTGCAAGAAAATTCATATAATAATTTAACATCTAAAGAGGATTATGACGATTTTAATACAATTTATTTATTCATTTTTTTGGGGACGGGGGAATTTTTATTATCAAAATAATTATCAGACTGGAAAAAAACGAACGGAGTGAGAATATAGTCTTATATTGTGTACACAAGTTACTTGTTCAGACCGTTACAAATCACCTCATTCGTCATATTAGAAAATAGTGGAGTCCCTTTAAGCAAGAGATATGTTATAGTGATTTTCACAAAATATTTCTTTTCCATAACGTTAACCGCACTTTATCTGTACGGATTGCGATGCGATTACATTTACTTTCAAAAACAAGATAGCGTGTGTGTTTTTACTTCTGGAACTTAAATAAACCACCTTAAACCACCAAAAGGTATGTCATCACAACGGTTAAGATCCAGAACAAAAAGTGCTACAAGTTTTGATTCCGTCTGTTAAAAAAGGTTACGGAATCGAATGCGTTTGAACATCTGAAAGTTGATTAAACGGTCTTAAACCATCAATTAATGTATCATCGCATCGGTTTAAAAATGCAAAATATTTTGATAACCTGATATTCTGTGAACAAAAAACACCATGTCATCAAGTTTGATGCAAAAGTGTATTTTTGTCAAAAGTAGTAAAAACAGAGTTTATATATATCTTTACCTGTTCCAGTATTCATCCGCATCTAGTACTGAAGCTGTCCTAATTTGGATAGTATCATTTGATAATTTTACTACTTCAAACCATTCATTTATATCTATATCTAGAAAATAAATCAAAAAACGTGTATTAACTATTATCATACTCAACAAAAAAAAAGAAACCTGACAATATTTCTTTTAAATGTTTTCTAATTTGTGAATTAAATCAAAACATGTGTAGTGAGTATTCATGTACTATAGATACACTATACATGTTTTTCGTTTTCACCGCATATTGTCAGTAGACTGCAGCTATGTGTAAATTTTTAGTTTTTGCCTGTGAACCCCGTGCATGCTGAACGATGTCAGATAGACAGTGATGTAAGGCACTATACATATGTCCAGTAACAATTTAGTGCCATTCACACCTAAAATTGATAGCTTTCACAATGCCACGTTTATCAGAAACAGAGAGAAATCAAGCAATAGGAATGCTGCTGGGTGTGACGTAATTAGAACGTTCAACTGCAGTCATAACACAGTTCATGAACTTGTAAGACGCTGTAGACTTACAGGTGATGTGCACGATCGTCCAAGGGACGACTGTTCAATTGTTTTAACTCACGTGACAGGTTCAGACCGGCGACCTTGACCGCAATCGAAATTAACGTAACTGCACAAACCATTCGCAATCGGTTGCACGCACAACAACGCCCGATTATAGCGCGAAGCCCATAAACAGGCGGTTTTCTCACTTAACGCCATCGTCAGGCCCGTTTTATGTGGGCATGTGCGCACCGTCACTGGCTGACGTGACTGGAATACTCTCCTGTTTTCAGACGAGTCTCGTTAAAATCTCAGTCATGCCGACAGCTGTGTAAGAATTTACCGTCGAAAGGGCGAAATGTTTGCAACTGCCTGTGTTAGACAGCATGATCGTTTCGGTGGTGGAAGCGTCGTGGTATTGGGTGGGATAATGGATGCACAAAAGACCCGGCTTATTGTTATACACGGCAACTTAAACGCCCAGAGATACAACAACGAAGTATTGAATGCCGAGGCTATTCCATTTATGCAAAGAAACGGTCCCTTTGTGTTAGAAAGACAACGCCCGTCCTCACACGGCGAGGATAACTCGCGCTCGCTTAGCTGCAGCCAACGTTTATACCATGCAATGGCCAGCAATGCCTCCAGATATGAACCCGATAGAGCATATCTTGAATAAACTTGACAGAAATGTCCGACGACATCACGCCCTACAGGATATTCTCCAAATGACAAATGCATTGATAGCGGAATGTAACAATCTTCCAAATAACCTTGTTCAACGTTTCGTCAATTCTATGCGTCGACGCGTTGATGTACTACTTAGAGCAAGAGGTGACCACAACCGATATTGAATTAAATGAAAAAATCGCATGCATTTTAAAATTGTTAATGAAATGATAAAAACCTATCTGCACGTAATCAAAAATGTTATAGCCACAAAATTGAATTTGACACCCTTTCCTAAGAACTAGCGTTATTTAAAAACTTAAACATAATTAATAAACAACAAAATGCATATCAATGTAATGTTGTGCATGCATCTCTTTTTCATGCCCTACATTCGTTTTTACATTTACGTCATAGATATCCTGAAAATAATAATAAAAAATATACACTGTCAGGTTTCTATTTTTGTTGAGTGTATATAAGTAAGCAAAATTATTTTCTTTATACGAAGAGGAAGGGAAAGTTTGTTTGTTTTTTAATAAAACTTACGTGTACGAACCAAAACCATATCAGTTCCGAAAATTTAGACATTCAAATTTGTTTCTTTCTTTTAGACAACAAAAGAGGCATTATAATCTTGTATTATATATCCAATAATCCATAAGAAAAAAAATTGTATAGATATCGACATTTGAAATTTTGCACGCCATAACCTGGAATGTCGCTAAAGAATATGAGAACAAAGACAAATTAGGAAAAACGACGACAATTAACGCAATTTTTAAGTGTAAAAGATATAGATCTATCTGATAAATATGTTATACAAATTTATACAAATTTTCAAACAGATAAATTAGGTTGTTTTAATAATCATTTTACTTACAATATAAATAATAACAGCAAATGTATGGCTTCACACATTTAAAGCACCACATGCGCTTGTCAATAATAGAAAAAGTTTCAACACAGCATTCGTTAAAAAGTGAGTAATGAGCTGATTTTTTGTGTGAATTTATTGTTATATTCAGCTTAACATCTGACCAATATTTAATAACTAGCTAGCTAGCGCGACAATATTCTATTGTTATTGAATGACGATCTGACTCGGCACAACATTTATTAGAGCTACACTGTGAAGATGGCTCGATATTCGGCAACAAAATCAATATTAAACAACATCCAGTTTTGTGGTTAAATCAGCTTATCCCTAGTGATATTAAATAACAAACTGAAATGTGGAAACTCAGTCCATTTTTAACGTGCAACGACTAACAACATATTGGTTTTGACGAATTGTCATAAGTAATAACATGTGAAACAAAATATATTTCCTATTAGAATATCTTTCAAATGTAAGCAAAAGAGTTATTATTAATGGAAGATATGAGTATGAGTATTTAAATGAAAAAAGAAGATTGTTAAACTACCTTCCCGAGTGTTCATTCCAACTTGTAAATCTCCGAATTTCCCATCATCCGGATCAGAAATTAAGAAGTTTCCTACGAGTGTACCGACTGGGACATCTTCACGTACTTCCGTTAAAAGGTTTTGCGGTAGAATAGTTGGCCGGTCGTTAGCTTCTTTCACATCTATCTTAATTGGAACTATATTTAGCGTTTCATTTCTGTACGGTTCTTTCAGTACAATGACATCCGTCTGTTTTCAAATAAAATAATGCATGATTCAGTTTATGAACGATATGGTGTATAAAGTTTCAATTTTACATTTGTAAAAGAACCAAAAATTTTTTAAGGAAGGACTCAAATTTTGTTAAAGCCTTTGACCGTTGCAACTAAGCTGTATTATAAGGTAATTTGTACTTTCTTGTCGGGGCTGAAGTCAATGACGGTTAGGTTGAACTTAACCACTCTCATATTACCTTATAATTTCGTCGCAGACTTTTACTTTATGTTTTTACGAGATCCTAACCTTCTACAATCAACGTAAAAATGATGTAATGAAGTAATATTGATTACAATAATAATATCTGTCATATTTTGCGGTTCGGATCGGAATATCCGTCCCGAGGTGACCCGCCCATTGGGCGGTAACGAGGCTTGCCGAGTTACTGCCCATGGGCGCGTCACCGAGGGACGGATTTTCCTATCCGAACCGCAAACATATGTCAGATATTTTTTCTTGCATATTCTACCATATTCCATTATATCTTAAATTCTTTATCTTTATTTTCAATAAAAATTTATATCATTACAACCGTAACTACTATCTTACAACAGCGTATGAATTGCAACTTCATTCATAACGGTAAAATGACGTCATCCTAACCGTGCCATTGTACAGCACGCGACTCATCTGGAACCCCCCATGCCAGATGAAATTTCCGGCATGGGTAAAACTCACGGAAATGCCAATCTGATATGCAGGAATGCATTATTCTATTCGGGAATACACTTGATGAATTACTTTCATACTTTTTAAAACAAAACGAGCTATTACTGTTAATATTGTTTACTATAATATAAAAACGTATCAAAAGATTTAACAAATAAAAGGTGAAATCATTAACAAGGCTATCAAGTTTAAGTAAAATTTATTGTACGATTGGTTTATCAAGTTATATATATTCAATTTTGTAAAAAAGATATTATTTATACGTGATTTTATTCCTTTTGAACGATTTTGAGACAAAAATAAGGATATGCATATGTAACAAAAAATATAATAAGGAAATATTAATCAATTTCAAATGTCTTGTTTAAGACCATCCCACATGTGCACATTCATATTATCAAGAAACAATTTAACACTACACCATGCATTTACAACCATTGTTCAGTTATACTGCAACGCAAAAGAATGTTCGTAGAAGCAATTTTATTTACGTCATTTAGTTTTTTGAAGTCACATCTTAAATCGATAGTGTCATTTGATGGGCTCAAGATAAACATATTTTCAAAAGTTTTTGATTTTGTTTAGACAATTATTTTTTATTTCTTGTAGGGTTATAAAAGTAAATAATAATGGAACCATATTTTATTCAAATTCGAATTTAAAACCAGATGGCATTACATCAAGAAATTGAAAAAAATTGAAAGAAAACCAACATTTTTTTAAAGACGATGAATGAAGATCTATAAGGTATGATCATAAAGAAAGATACTTAAATGGTAAATACATCTACTTACGTTCCAAGTGTTTATATACAATACATTCGTTATTGTTAAAATAAGGTAATTTAAATTCCCTGTACTGGCATGCTCTATAGAAAAGAATCTGTGTTCGTCATATGTATTTTTTAACCGAAAATACACGCTTATACTGTTCCAATTGTTGCAAAAGAATTGAACTTTAGTTGATCTGTCGTTCTTTGGAAGGTCGTCACTAATTGTTAGTTTTATAAAATCTGGTGTGCAACCTACAATAAAAACAGATTAACAATGATTAAAATTGTTTACACATTCAGTGTTTGACAGATAAGCGATATATATTTAACCAGCTTGAACTGGCGGTCATGAGCACTGTAAGAACTCTAAAACCAGGTCAGAGCATGCACATCCGGGGATTCTTACCAGACTCGAAACGGTAAATAGCACTTACTATTTTTCACGAAAAATTAAAAATAGAATTTTCCAATTTAAAAAAACATGACAATAGCTTCAAATTCAGAGGATCTTTCAATCATTAAAAATTTGCTTCAACAAAAATGTATCTCAGCGATTGATTGATTAAAAGGACATTTTGCCTTAGAAACAAACAAATATTTTCTTTTCTTAAAATGACACATATGAGTCTTATAATTTTAAGTTAATGGTGTAATGTTAGATGTATATCGCTAAAGAAAGTAGTGCTTTAAAAATAATATTCTTCATAAAAGTAACAAACTGGTAAATAAAGTAGTATAGAACTTGCATACAAAAGATTAAATCACTAAGTACTAATTGCCAAAAAGCAACATAAGAGACAGATGACTCAGGTAATTGGTCAATGGGTAACTTTTTTGAAAATATAAACCAAGAAAACAACAATAAAAAGCTTTTAAAATTAAAAGTAAAAACATTTCTGAGGTTTAATTGGCTTTTAATTGACATACAATAAAGGAAAGGGAACTAAAACTATTATAAAAGAAACCAAATATTCATGACAGTATGAACACTATATACCTTTGAATAATGTCTCATATTGAACAATATTTATACAAAAAGTGAGGAAATTATTTTCAGACGAGTCTCGTTAAAATCTCTTATTTTCATTACCCCAACATCATTGTACCGACAACAATGCCTTAATTTTCAAATTTTCAAAGGATTGTTTAATGTGATGATATCGATTTATGGTTATAAGCATTGCCTCTTTACCATGCTTATTATCTTAAGTTTAATATATAAATCTAAACAAAAAAATTACTTATATTGAGGAACATTTCTTAATACGTACTGGCTGAATTTCGAACATAACAGATTTAGTCCATACCATATTTACACCACGTTTCTAAAGCTCTAAATATTTAATGTGTTTGATTATTCAAAACTTTTTATTCTAATCTGGGGACGTACCCCTTTAACACCAGATTGTCGTACACTAATAGCATACAAGTATATAACATAACATAACATATAGTTTATTAGCATACTATGTGTTTACATACATAGCCATTTACAATGCATGAAATACAGACATGAAATTTTCAACAGAAGAACGTGATCAATTCAAATAAAAAGATAAGTACATTGATAAAATGTACATTCAGTCAATCTTAATAAAATCAATACAAGTTATCTGCAACTGTGTTTAGAGGTTTTCAATGGTTAACTTACTATAAAAATTTGCGTCTCTTTGTTCATTATATAGTATGATAGTATAAAATACTTAGTAATCGTCAGTGTATTTAAACATTGTTATTGTTATTTCGTACTTAAAAGGCAGAATATATGAATTTAGCAACATTGGTAATACTTTTTGAGGATTCACATGATAGAATGTTATGAACTTTTGGATTGATGGCCATCTACAATAATAATATGGTTTAAAGTATTTGGTTCTTAGTTCTCTATATTTCGGGCATACTAAAAAAAATTATGCTCATTTTCGATCATGCTCATATTACATTCTTTGCAAATTCGAAGTTGTCGATCGACATTTGTGTATCTTCCAGTTTCGATTGCTTGTTGATGAGAAGACAGTCTATATTTAGATAATGCTATTTGGTATTTTCTTTCATTTATACATTCTAGATATTTTTCAAAATTAAAAGTATGTTTAAATAGACAGTATGAAGATAATATGTTAGAGTTGTTGATATTAGTGTACCAAGATTGTTTATAAATATCAAGGATTCTCTGTTTGATGAAATAATAAGGGATGACTATATTATTTTGATTAATCCATATGTCAGCTTATCCTATTTCCTCTAGAATATGTTTTATCTGATAAGCCCAATTCATATTTTTTATATTTTATATTTTGATTACCAATCATTTGACAACATATCGTAAACCTTTTTTATTAATACATTGGAAGATGTCAATATTTTAATCCAGTATCTAATCATAAATAGTTTTCTATATATTTTCATAGGTACTCTTCCAACCTCTTCATATAGTCCTTCTAAATTTGTAGATTTTTTTACACCAAGCATCTTACGTAAACATTTACAATGTATCAACTCAATAGCTTTTGATTCGTGATTTTCCAATATTGGTGCATTATAATTTAGGACTGATCCAACTAGGCTATAGAACAGATTACATTTATCTTTATTGGTTAATTTTACTTGATTGAAAATAATGAACAAGTTATGTAAAGCATATGATGCGTACTGTGCTATCCTGCTTTGCGTTCTGTACCAAGAACCATTTTTAAATAGGTGTGTTCCTAGGTATTTGAAGGATTTAACAACCTCTAATTGTTGTTCACATAAAATAAAATTATGTTGTGTATGACGGCCCCTTTCGAAAATCATTATTTTTATTTTGTCGGTGTTTATTTTTAGGCCCCAAGTATCACAATATGCTTCTAGTTTGTTAAGTAAATCTTGAAGTGCATTTTGAGTGTTTGCAAAAAGTACCGAATCATCGGCAAACAGTAAAATGAACAGTTTTAGCTCGTCTAGTGTAAATATTCCTTCGATGTCTGTGGATATCATTTATAAAGGACTAGAACTTGGGTTTCCTTGTTTGACCCCAATATGAGATTCGATGAAGTCTGAGTATTGGTTTATATATCGAATAAATTGCTTAACTACACTATACATAGATTGCACATAGATTGCATAGCTTTAACAATTCTTGAACTGACATTTTCAACAATAAGTTTATGCCATAGAAACGTTTTATCTATTTTGTCGAAACATTTTTCACAATCTACAAAAGCTGTGTAAAGTTTTTTGCCACATCTGAATGATTTTGCGATGACTGAGTGTAATAAAAAGATATATTCTGTAGATGTTCTACCCTTTTGGAAGCCAAATTGATGATCGTTTAATTTTTCATTTAATTGCGACCATTTTGTGACTCTATTTAATAATACTTGCGAATATATTTTACCTAGTATATTTCTAAGACATATACCCCTATATTTGTTTGGATCATCTATGTAACTCCTTTAAAGATTGGTACAATTATTCCCTTGCCCCATATTTCTGGGTACTCCCCTTTATTAAACAGTCTGTAAAAAGTGTGTAATACTAATGCAATCTTTTTATATTAACATTTATAAATTTCAGCGCATAGGTCATCTATTCCACTACTTTTATTATCATTTTGCGATAAAACAGCAAACTTTATTTCATCATAGCTTATTTCTCCATCCAAATAATCGTCATATATTTGATCATTATCAACATTAATCTGGTGTATTTCAGGTACTTCACCGTATAAATTTCGGAACTGATTAAACAAACCATCTATACTTAGATTTTCGGACTGTAGGTTTTTTCTTGTATTGGTATTTAATATTTTTCCTTGTTTTTTATATGCAATTTTTGCTTTATTTCTAATCTTGTTATAATTACTTTAAGCACTTAAGAATATATGTTTATTTTCTAGAGTTTTGTTTCGGAGAAACTTATTTCTATCAATTTTATTTTGTTTACGTGCATTAAAACATTCGTGATTAAACCATTTTTGTTTATTACAATTCGGTTTTGTTATATTGTGCAACGTTATCGTTTTGCCAAATACGTCAAAAGATTGCTTACGTATTATATCAACAAACCCTTTGACAACATTATCTATATAAGTTTCTTCATTTTCTAATGACGATATGACATTTTGTAGATGTTGTTCATCTAGCCTATTTAAGAAGTCATCGATATTTGCAAGATCCCATTTTATATATTGCTTATATGAAGTATAATCATACGAGGATGTATTTGAAATTTGTTTAGACATTAAAGTACATTGTAGACCAGAGTGGTCAGAAAATTCGTTCGGTTCAGCTATTTCAAAATATGATATTAGCTTAAAGTCTTGTTTATCGAGCAAAAGGTAATCAACAGTGCTACAGCCATTTAATGAATGAAAGGTGTACTCTCCATGAGTATCAAAAAGCAACCGGCCATTACCTATGACCAAAGATGTATTTTTACATAAATCAATAAGACGTCGCCCTTGGGCGTCAATGACGTGGTCACAATTATTACGAGTTGGAATGTCAAAAACGTAATACAAGTATATAATCAGAACTATTTACAGCTATTGCAACTGAGTTTTGTATTTTGTTTGAAAAATACTTCAACTTGTCCGTATGTAATAGTACTTGAGTGAATATCATTAAGCAATAGACATCAATATTTGGTCTATTATAACAGTTTTAGAATTAATTATGTTTGCGCAGTTATAAAATCATACAAGCTGTTTGTGAATATTACACAGCATGCTAGAATTATAAATGTATTTTATAATTTAAAAAAAAAAACAAAAAAAAAAACAAAAAACGAAAAAAACGTGAAGTGACTAATATCAAATGAATGTTAAATGTCTGTGTTTTGTTATTTCGCTAAAGGTTAAGCTGTACAGATTGTAATTACTAGTATGCGCCGCTTCAAAGAAGAGTGAGTATATTGTTTTGCTTATGTCGGTCGGTCTGTCAATCTGTTGGTCTGTCTGTCCGTCTGTAGACCACATGGTTTCTGCTGATTATCATAAAAACTGTTTATCACAAAGTGTTCATATTTCACAAAGTGATTGGTCATTTATAGTAAATTTAATTGATTTTCGGGTCACTAGGTCAAAGGTCAAGGTCACAGATGTCTAAAATGTCACAGTGGTTTTCGATGATTATCTTGAAAAACATTCATAACAAAGTCTTCATATTTCACATAGTGATTGGTCATAACTAGTAGATGACCTCTTTCGATATTGGTGTCATTAGGTCAAAGGTCAAATCATGGGCCTTAAATTTCAGAATGGTTTCCGCTTACTATCTTGAAAACTATTTATCACAAATTCTTCATATCTAACATACTGATTGTCATAACTAGTAGATAACCCTTATTGATTTTGGGTCACTATGTCAAAGGTCAATGTCACAGGGTTTTTGAATGTTAGTATTGTTTCCGCTCATAATCTTAAAATCTAATTATCACAAAGTTTTCATATTTCTAATAATGATTGGTCATTACTTTTAGATGACCCCTATTGAATTTGGGTCACTAGTTCAAAGGTCAACGTCACAGGGGCCTTAAATGTCAGATTTGTTTCCGCTAATTATCTTGAAAACTATTTATCACAAAGTCTTATTTTTTTCTTTTTCCATAATTGAACACTTTCATATACCTATTTATGGCAAGTTTCTAGTTTCTATAACAACATTATCAATACTGTGAGACAAGAGCTAGAAAGATGGGGGGCATATGTGTCGTTCTGCATTTCTTGTTAATATAACAAATTGTTATTTTCGTAGATGGTGTGGGGTAAAGGAAAATAAGTGAGAAAAATAGGTATCTTCTTGCCTCCAATATTAAATAAATCTCATTGTATAATTGAAATAAACTGTGCAATTATTACTCATCCAAGGAATTGTATACCACTCTAACTAATATCGATCCTTCATTCGATTGTTTTTATTGTTTTGTTTTGTTTTGTTTTTTAAAAAACACATGGCTATTGAATATCTTCAAGATATTTTATTCATGTGAATTAAATTTATTTCCCAATTTAAAGTTCCCAGAAGAACTTTAACAGGTGCAAAATGTCATATCTGCAAAGGGAGGAGGGCGGTTAAAAGGTTACTTTGAACAATCTAAGAAGAATCTTGTATGCCAAATATGGTACATATGCTTCGGCCTTTTGATTTCAGAGAAAATGATATTCTAAGTACAATTAAAGTAAATCAATGACCACTGGACAGTGCAAATTTTGATTCTAGAATCATAACTTTAAAATTTTGGTACAAGTACTAGAAAAAAGCATGTCAAGAACGTAACATTCACAAGGAATAACTTTTATTTCTATACACTTTTACATACAGAAAAGGGTTGGGCCTTTTAACCTAAACATAATTTGGACCTCAAAATGATAATACTTAGCAAATCAACGCTTTAGCTATTGTATATACAGAAAAAGAATTTATGAATAAAGTTGCATTGTTATACCACCGTTTTGCTCTAAATTATTTAATGTAAACGTTTGAACATTCTAGGTTGTAGGATGATTCCTGTGAAGAATAGTTAAAAAAGACTTACACTGACAAAGATGGTCTTTTAATATATTGTTGGCGGCAAACGAGCATGTCGAACGACGTCGACGTGAGGGCTACGAGTATCAAAATAACGCACAACAAACATATTATGTATAGGTGAGCTAAACACGAAAACCAGTTCTACTTACATATCAGTATTTTATTTCCCCACATGTGGTTATGGCAACTACTTTCCTCATGCTTTGTTTATTGACCAGTGCCTACTGCATTGCAGCTTTTGAAGTCATCTTATATTGCTTAATATTGTCGGGGACTACGTTCCGTTTATATTATTTTACCTTTTACTTATATATTTCTTACTTACCTTACCGATCGCAGTCATACGTTCTGAAGCTTAGACAAGTAGAGAGATAGCTCTTCGCTTGCAGAAGAATAATCGCGCAAATAAGAAGACATATTAACAGGTCGAAAATAGAAATCGCCACATCGTTAAAAAATGAAAATATTGCTCTCGATTTTTTAGCTATTTAAAGGCAGTAACAGCAAAATATGGTTCACTGAAACTAAATCACCTTTCACCAAACGCTAAAAATAACCTAATGCCAGTATATCATACTTATTTCATTTAAATGAGATTCATACAATAACGTCTGGTGATGTTGTTGAAATACTTCTTAATTGTGTCACGGGTGAAAACCTTAAGGAATAATAATAAAAATATCCTTATCAATTAATTAAGTTACATTAAAATTTTAAGTCTGGATAATCATCATCATTTGTACATTATTTCAAAAGAAAATAATGACCGGGTCAGGTGGTTCTATAGAATAATGACCGGGGTCGATGGTTTTAGGTTTCTGAAGCAGATCAATTTTTCTTTGCAGGTGCAGTCAGTATTTTAAAGAAAATTGATCATCCTATCTTATAGTATAATGGCTAGAATACCCATATTCTATGGGGGTCTGTTTGACACCGGACACGACAGTGCAAGATCTAGACAAAAACAACAGCAAAGTATTTGAGATCTTCAAACTTCTTTTTAAATTTCGCTATCAGATCATATACAACAAAGCTTGTCATTCGAATATTAAACTTATACCTGTTAAAACATTTATAATGAAAGGTTCCAATATCTATCGGAAAAGAAAAGACTCCCTAACAAAGTTTCGCTGCTGATACTGGAGCTAATTAACTGCATCCGTGCAAAACATTGATTAGAATGTTTCATAGACAGTTCTTGCTTACGAAAATTGTGACTGAAGAGTGAATCGGCTCATAGAAATTCAACTGAATTTTCGGGTGAAAAATGTCTCTTAATTATGCAGTTCAAGCTACTAACGTTATTATGATCTTCAATGGTTGCGATTATCAGGCTACTAGGAGAACAGTGTCCGGTGTCGGTGCGGCAAAAGATTCCTTAAGTTAAACATGAGTATCTCTGGAAAAATGAATACTTTTTGTTAACTTCGACCGTTAGCCTTTTGAAACAATGTTTTAGCCTTATTCAACAATTTGAAGTTTGGCGGGAATATTGTGCGCCAACTTGAATATAACGGACGTGCAATCCGACCAAGCGTCGCAAAAAAACTTTAGAAGTGGGAAAATGTATATTGTTACAATATAGTTAAAGTCACGTTTATTTTGTATAGCTTGCCGGACATATAAAGAACATCCATATATGAAAAGGGCAGCGTAAATTGTGTTCGCATGAAAATACATTGACTTACATTTCACCATTTTAACAGTGAGTGAAAGGTCGGATGACCACTTTAAAATTTAATTACGGAAACGGACTCTTAAAAAGATTTAATTTCAATTAGTGTTAACCACAGTTTTTGGTTTTTTTTGAAACGGAAAGTTTGAATAAGAAATAGATGACATGCATTAAGTTTGTTTAAACGATAAATCTGCGGTTTGACATAATGATTTGTTCTTATTTTTACATTTATCTCTAAATTATTGGTAGTTAATTCAAACTGACACTTATTTATCCCTTTGTAACTAACTTTGCCTTATACTTGCGGCGAAGACTAATTTTGTTCATGAATATTTTAGGATCATGATCAGAATTCATGTTTTGAATCATAATATTTTAATGTGGACTTGGACTAAAATCAGATAAATCATGAAAAGGGTTTTGAAATAATTTTCTTAAACTGCCATAAGAAGTTGATTTAAATATTGAGCCTTACCTTAACGTTTTCATTAATATTGATCTGATCTGAACGTGTACTCTTATAACAATCCTGATGTTAACATGTGCTATTATCTTGATCTTGATATAAACATGTATTCTTTTATTGAGCTTGATCTTATCATGTACATTTATATTGAACCTAGTCACTGCGTGTACTACAATATTTATCCTGATCTAAATATGTTCCCTTATATTGATCATGATTTAATCATGTACTCATATTGATTCTTACCTGTTTTATGTACTTTCATAGTAAACATAACCTCCTCTATTGATTTGGGTCTTAGCATGTTATCTTGATTATTGTATTTTATTCCTTATATCTTATCCCGGAATTGTTCTGTTTCGAGGTAGAAATTATATTAAAATCGATGTGTTTGTCCAATGACGAACTTAAGCCTAACTATGCTGAAACCGAAGAGATAAGCCTTTGGCACCATTACACAACAAGGTCAGTCTGCAGATTAACCCATGCAACGCTTTGTCATTGCGCTGATTTTGTTTAGCTGATTTGTGTGATTTAGTATGGATTTAAAGCAGAAAGTCTTGTATTCCTATAAATATTACGTCGTTTTGAGATATTTTTGCCTCTTGGCAAAGCAACGTCATATCGAAATTGCTCAAAAACCCATTCCGCAAGAAAATCAACTAAAAAATAAATACCTTTAAACAGAATAATTAACTGTCACATCCGAAAAATCGTGATTAAATTCTCTCATTTATTATAAATCCTGATACAGCCGATAATCAAATGACCGCCATACACTGCGCGAAATCTGATTGGCAAATGAATTCAAATGCGAGCGTTTTCACGAGTCAGAAGTTTCTAACGCAATATGATTTTAACGAAATAATTGCCCATGCACCATCAGCATATTCGATTATATTTTTCTGTTCAAAAATTTGGAATCAATCTGTAAAGCGCTTTGCTGTTAATATTCACAAATATGGCCGATAGACGAAATAAACTGTTTATATTTTATTTTGAATTGATAAGTACATTGTTTGAGAGTTTTTGTTAATGATTGAGCATGAAATTGAAAGAAAAGAAGATAAGCTTTTGAAAAAAGCTTGAAAGGTAAGACAATAGACATTTTTAGATTTTTTTACGTTGCTATGTGTTTATGAGCAATAACTATTAGACGTCAGGCTTGACCGATATAAAACTATAACAAGCCTGTAACGTCTAATGCATTGGACTAGAAGTCTAGCAAAACAAAATGTTGTCTTAGTCGTGTTGAAAATCCAAAACTTGGAGTTCCAGCTGTTGCAATTGTCTGGTATTTTTTTATATAAAGGAAGATGTTTTCTAGTCCGTGACATTGAGTTCTCTGTTGTTTTTTAACAATATTAATAAACTTACCATTATTTGTTGGATTTTCTGTCGCCAGCGTTAAACTTCCAAATTTAAAAAATATGGTGTGTAACAAAGCTGTATTCACAAAAGACGCTAAAGTTAACTTAAACATTGTATGAAGTCAATAGTCATATTTTAAGAATATTATCCAGGTGGTTTAATTTCATTTTCAGTTGGTGTGTTTAACATGGATGCCTTTATATAAGCAATTAAGCGTTACACAATGTCAAGGATAACCAACTTTATTTGTTTCATGTAACTCTATAGTTGCAAACATATAATTATATATGTATGTTTACTTACGGGTGTATGATTGGTTATACGGAGTTCTAGCAAGTTAAACTGATGTATGTACACATTTCCGACAAGAGCAATATTTCAACCAATCGTATAAGCTAAGGCAATATACCTTTCAAAAAGTTTTCATAATTATCGAATGAAATTGGTGGCTGCTTACTTCGATTAAGATATAAATAATTACCCGAACTTTGCAGCTGGCCTGTATATAAGAAATATAAACACCATAGTTGTCCAATGAAAACTGGCATTACAAGTTCGTGAAATAAAGTCCATTGCCACGACCAATAAACATGATTGGCACGACTTTATGCAAATTACGGGGAAACATCCGTTTTAAAAGTATAATGTGTAAGACGCCAATACACAAAAACTAAGAATTCTCTGTAACATGAATATTTAGAGTAATGTTGAGGCATCCTACAGTTAAACTTGCTTTTTACACTAAGAATTAGCATCTTTAGGAACATATGGTGCTTGTGCTGCCTATAAGATATATTTAATAATAGTTACAGATTATCTAAACATTTGCAGAGCACTGCATGTCACAAGAATTATATTGTGTTTGCTTGGAACTTTTCGATCCTAGGTTTTCATAAGAGCTTTTGATTTGATGTATTTTCTCACTGATATTTTTTCTGACTGATTTATTTGTAGGATAGCAGAAGAACCAGGTATTTCATGCTTTAAGAGGGTGTTTTTTTGTTTGTTTTTTGTTTAATGTAAAAACTTACAAGAAGCATCATTTAGTATGTAAAAAATATAAACCAGATATCATTTTGTGCAGGGAAAGTAATGTTTGTAACAATTAACAATTTGCTTAGAAATTATACATTGAATTAAGGTTATTTTAGCGATGGAAAACAATTATTTCAATTTAAGCACTTGAAATAAGTTCTGCCTAATTTGTCATTTCCCGTGTCATTAAGTTGAATACGTATTAATGAAGTGTGTATGTGTTAATTGAATGTAGTAGCCCCACCTTATTAGGACGGCATGATATTGGTCAAATTCTAAGTGAGAAATTGATAAACGTTTCTTCGTACAATTAATCAACTATCGCTTTTATGACGGTGTCGTTTTGTTTATGATTCATGTAGAAAATATACAACGTAAACAAACTGAAATAGTTTGCTCAATATTTAATGAGTATAGTTTAATACTAAATTTATTGAACGAGTTGAATAAAATCATATTATGCGAGCCTCTAGCGAGCATAATATAGTTTTATTCAACGAGTTCAATAAATTTTGTATTGAATCTACACGAACATGATATTCTATGTATCACATATGTAAAATAAGAACAGTAAACTGTTAAAATGAGTATTTTTTCAATGACGCGCCCATAGTGTAACGCTAACATTAGTGCGCTTTAACGCTATGTTTCCATATAGCGCAAATGACGACACGTCAAGTGTTATTACACTAGTTTAATTTCGTTTTAGTAAATTGCTTTATCACATAAACCGCGGCGCAGGAGTGTCATAAAGCCATTTAATAAAAATATGCCAATACCTGTAAGTAAAGAGAATATTGAGTTCTGAAAAGTAGGAAAAATGAAAACTTTCTTCCAGGCAACATTAAACTTTTTTTGGCATTTTCATTTGACATATTTCTGGTAGCGGGCGATTATATGTTATCGAGTATCTTCAATGTAGATGTTGATCATATCCCGCTGTAATTGCGTAGACAATTTCTTTTTCAGCAAAAAATTCTTAACTGTAGCCTGCGAACATTTTCTGTTGTAATTATTATTGGCATAATTCACACCTTTTCTTTCAAGTCTTCTGATTATAAGTAAAATGATTTGAATTGAAAATACCCGGAGACATAGCCCGGTCATTTTGGCGCAAAAATATACAAATCGTATTTACTAAGCAATGTGGTGAGAAATGGAAGGTAAAAACTTAGTTGTTTTTTTTTTTGGCTACTATCCCCGCATTCACAGAGAAATGAGGAGTCAGAGTTTCAATAGGCTGATGTTTTGAATAGTTATAATAACCGAAATTCGAATAAAGCAGGAGATTATTTTGTCAATGAAATTGTATTTTCTTTGTTTATCATACAAACTGTAGCATAATTAATATCTTAACAATTTATATGATAACAACACCATAAGTGTTTTTAATAAACTATTTATAATTGTTTCTTGGACACGTGTCATGTGCCTTTTATTGCCTAAAGTGCCAATTCAAGATATTGTACAGGCTACTTGCAGAAAAGAGAAAAACAATCGGAAAGTCAGCCAGTCTTTTCTATGACTTTTTAATAACCATAACATACTTAACCGTATAATATGATTATGCGATTGTGTCACCTTTTCGTCGTATCTATTCCAAGATATTTCTTATTTCAATATGTCCTTGATATTGAAACATATACATAGCATACTAGTAATACATAATACATGTACTTTACTCAAACGTTTTGCGCGGGTTGCATCTTTTAACTACCGTAGATTCTATATAATTATATTTTTCTAATTTTGTCGTGGCTTTAACCTTTTCCTGAAAATGAAAATCACAGTTCTGACAATTGCATTATTTGTGCAAAAGATAAAAAATGATTAGATTTACATGTTGTAAAAGGGGCCTCAGGACATTGTTTTCAGCGACACCTCCCCCAAGCATATTGGCGGCTTTAATGTATGCTTACCTGTTAAGATGGCGAAATTGCCCAATAACTAATGAAATTGTGAATGCATTCGCTATGAAATGTGACTGTATATGTTATTTTAAGAAGAAAGTACTAAATAAAGGTATAAGATTATGTTTTATTACGTGTGTAATAGGTCTCGTCGCACCAGAATCAGTCTAAATATTTAAATTCCCAGTCAAGAACGCGTTAATACATTTTATAATTGAAATACTGTAAGTCACATACATCTAAAGAAATCAATGTACCATTTCTTACAATAAAACCTGTTTTTACTTTTGTCCGTGTCTCTTTAATTATTTAGGAGTGGCCTTACTTGGATAAACAATGATCTTATTATGTATCTAGTAGATCGAAATTGCAGAAACAGATTTTTGAATAATTATGTGAAATATGGATTTCGATATTGACGATAAATAAAATGATAAAAAATAGCTTCTCATTAATTTTAATGTTTATTTACCACACGTCATATGATAACAGCATGCTGAAAACGCTTTCAAACACATTCATTTTACAGTTACATGCACTTTTTATTATTTTTCAAAATTATAATAATCTTGTCAACAGTCACTTGGGAACAATCAAAGTTTATTAATCTTCACATTTGGGAATACTAGTAAGTCGCTGCAGTATTGTGTCTCTAATTCACTGGCACCTTACAAGATCAAATCTTTTTTGTCTTTTAAAGGTTAAAATGTCTCAAATAATTTATTTTTTAAAACTTGCATCTATTCTAATAACGCTTAAATACTAGTTAGGGTCAATAAGCAATGCAATATGGTCAAATGACAGACCTAAGTCCATTTCTAAGCAAAATGTTATTTAAGTCTAAGAACTAGGAAAAAGTCAAAGGATCCCATGCTTAAGAATACGGTGGATGTTTATCGACAGTTACTCGTTTTACTTTTAAAAAATATCAATTTCAGTAGCATCTTTGTTTGCGGGGGGGGGTTATCAGGCAGAAAGTACAGTGCATTGATACCAATCGAAGGAGAACTTTATTTCAAGTTTTCTTAACACGATATAATAATGCTTTGATAACAGATTTTTTTCTAGTTTTCTAGGCAGTATTTTGTCACTTTTAACTGAGCGTTTACTAGTCTTATTTTACATGAAGTTACTCTTGTAAGGTATTTTAAAATGTAAACAAAGTTCTAAATCGGTTGGCTACAATCATGAATTTGTATTATTTGAAGCATAGCAAAGTTTAAACAAACACAATAATGACGGACTAAATTAGAAAATATACTTCATTTTGCATTACATATTGACCCACCCTCGTATTCAATTTACTTAATTGATAAAGAGATTTTAATTCAGACAGTTTGATGATATATGTTCAATTTTATGAAATTCCCAAACATTTTTAAGAGTTTTTTTTATAACCAGTCCTGTGAACTTCAAAATTTAACTATTAAATATTAAGAGTAAACAGTAACGTTACAGAATTAACCCTTACTATGGACACTTTAAATCGGTGGTTCCATCAATTTCATCTGAAATATCTGGGCATTTCGACAAACTTGTAATTTGATGTTTGTCAACGGATATTTGAATGACATGCGTCGTTATTCTATTTAAGATTACAGAGCACTGCGTTGCTACTTGCGCCGCATGTTTTAGATGGTCTGTATAGATAATGCTCATTTCTCCATGGAATTTTGCAAACTCATTTTTAAGTTAGTTGTCTATTCATACTGATTCAAAGATTTTGTTAACAACTTTGAATACCTAAAAGATAGACTATTCATGCGCATTTATTTGTTTCATTGCTTAAATGAAAGTACATAGTGTCTCAATAAAAACTAGTTAAATATAAAACTTAAAACTTGATACCCAAATCCTTTGTATTCAACGAGGACAAATCAGTCATACAGAATATTTTATCAAAAGAACTAAAAGTATGGTAAAACACTTTACTTTTTGCTTAACGTCCAATAAAATTACAAATTGTAACAGTATCATGAGAAGAAAAAAGCAAGCATATTTTGATAATTTATATATTGTCATCTATTGGCCAATATTCTGTATGATATTCAGTAATTTATTCAATGATACTCCAAGAGGTAGTGGTTTGATTTGTTAGAGCACCACATGGACAAACACGCTCTGCGATTCAATTTTATTACATAGCAGAAAGCCACCCTTTGATTACATTTCTATGTCAGAGGTCTTATAATGATTTAATCTATTAACCTCT